TTTTTTTTTTTTTGAAGGTCCTTTATCAGATATTTAACCTTGTCGATAGTAGAATCATTTAGTCTTAATATTCTAACATTGTCAATATAATATCTTCAAATTCTATTTCCCAAATTAATATGTTATTATTATCTTACTTTTTCTTTTCCCATTACAGTAGTCTCGTTTAATAAAAATGAGGGGGTTAAGGGTCTGTCGTATGAGTAAAATAACATGTATTGATGAACCCTTTGCATTGATCATCTGAGTTTGCCTTTTGAATTCATTTTGTTCTTTGCAGCAACAGATCAAAGATGTCAGATGAGTATTGTGTAAATCATTTTCATGTTTGTCATAGCGTCAGAATGTTCAGTCTACGGCACTTTCTTGACGCGCTTCGAATGAAATTTTGATCAGTGAGGGGAAATGTATTGTCTAATGAGAACAGCAAACAATTCAATATTGGATATAACCTATTTTAACAGAGTATACCCGAATAGGTTTCATTGAGTTGTCAAACAAAGTGCAAAACCACATGGTATGTACGTTGTCAGTTACTCTACTTGTTGCTGTTACAATTTAGTATAACTCCCTAATTTTTTCAAATTTAAAGAAAAATCCTCATATAAAATATATAATTAGATTCATTTAACAAAAAGAAGAATATAATAGCACCCCGCAACTAAATTTATTCAGATAATCCATTGTTGTATTTGTTAGGTCGACTTGATAATGTTCTCATGAAGTTGAGGGTTGTACTTTCTATTATTCTCAACAATAGTAACATTTTCATTTATCTGGGCAACAACAAATGTTTCGATATATACGTTGCGACCGAAATGAACCGTTAACTCCAATATACAAAATACAATGAATGAAAATTTTGAGGAAAAAACTGTATCCCTTTTCATTCTAAAAATCACTCGATAGTATAGAATTTTACACTTGATAAGCTGGATGTTCCAGGAAGATATTATCAACTTTGATATTAAAAATCTAATATTTTTTCTTTTATAAACCATACAAATTATAACCTCTTTAACAAAAGGTGAAGGGGGCACATCTTCAATTACCAAAGTTTATTCATTTACGCCATGAGTTATTGTTTCTTTAAATTCAACTGTCTTAAATGGTGTATAGTTGGTTTGTATATCTGCACATAAAACACAAAACCGTGGGAGAAACTGAATATAATATATAAGCTGATTTTTTATTTCACATCCCCTCTCTTCTTGGTCAAGTTGTTATCTATTATTTTGAATAGGTACTAACAATAACTTTGCCTATATCAGTCATTAGGTTTTTTGTATATATTTGTAATATCTTGAAAGGTTAAGAAAATATTTTGTTAATTAAATAAGGTGCATTCATTGTTCGCATCTTGTCAATAGGATCTAGAATGTTTGGGTTATAGATAAAGTGGTTTGGTATTATTTATTGCGTATAAATAAATGTCTGGAAACTATAAGCATAAACTGCCTTTAATTATGTGCAAATATTTTTAATTCTTTTCTTTGTTGATTGTTGATCTTACTAATTTTCCAGTTCGCACAATACAAAAAATTTAATGCTATAAAATAATTTTGATATTACGTAACCTACCGATACAGTTGGTGTGCACTGGTTAATTAAAGTAACGTAAAGAGACGATGTGTTCCATGAATAGCATAGCATCATATCTTGTGATTATATGATATATGGTTAAATCTACGCCAAGAACCACGAAAGTTACTCGCAGAAGAAGGCAATTTAAATCCTGTTTATTTTGCAGGAAAAGAAAACTGAAATGTGATCATGTAAAACCGATTTGTAAACAATGCTCAAAGAGGGGGATTAATAAATGTATTTATTCTGAGGATTTTAATTATGACATCACAGCTGAGGAGCTATTTGAAAAATTTCCAAATGTACAACTGGTTGAGGAAGTTACAAAATTACAAACCCAGATAGAAACCAATAATCCAAATTTTCCTAGAGACCCCACAAAGTTACAATTTATAGGACAACCCTACTTTAGTAAGAATGATAAACAATTGTATGGATATTCTTCGGTAAGATGTATGACAAATTTCCAATCGGATTTTATTCAGAAAATGTATATGAATACTTTGGAACAAATAAATCAAGAATTCCAAAAACAAAGAAAACCCTATCCTGTTACCATAGAAACTTCAGATTTACCACAACTATTAGATGATGAACTGGTGAATGTATGTAAAGAACTCCCTGGATATGATATAATGAAACTGTGTTTAGTTCATTTCTTTAACAGTTCATTGTTTGATCTTCTGGGGGTAATTGATGAAAAGAAAACACTCGACACATTTTCGGCATACTTCATTCCGAATGAAAAGGATGAAGACGACGTATCAAAAGCAACACAAATAGTTATTCCTTCCAACGGGAACATTTTCCAGGTAGCAATCATTATACTTATTGTTGCAATATCGCCGTATACCCAGAGTATCAGCCCATCGTTAAATAGATTTTTGGTTATAGTTGCTAATTTGTCGGCAAATTATACCGGTTATGTGGAATTTTGCCAATTTTTAGTGTTACGGTGTATGTGTAGATCTTATGATGATAAATTAGATTTTTCAAATGATCTAGTAAAAAAAAATCTAATATGCAAACTTTGTCAGGGGTGCCTAGACTTGGGTTTGGCTAACGTTGATGTTTTTTACTCTGAACTTACATATACAACATCAGAATTGATTAGTATGAAGAAAACATTTTACTGGACATTATTTCTTGATGTCTACACAGCTCTACAATTTGGTACCCAGGTATATATCCAGGATGGTTCTATAGACGGTAGAACGATATTTGATGCCGATATAGCAGTTTGTGGTACAGGTGTAAACAAGAGAAGAAATGGTTTGCTTAAGGAATTTTTAATGATTATGAGAACTATGCTTAACCAGTTCAATCAGATAAAAGGTATGCCTCATTGCAATATCGTGAATCATATAGGGTCAATTCAAAAATTCATCCAAACCAAATTATTACCTATGAAGTTTTATGCTGACTTTGATTCTCCCGTAATGATGGACCCATTAGATTTGATTATATTGGGTATTTTGATAGAATCTTTAATTGTCCTGAATCATTCCAGGAAGAAATATTATCATGAAATTAACTCAGAAGTTGATAGGGATATTATTCATTATTGTAACTTGCTTAGTAACATTAGTTTTCGATCAATCATTGGCGGACATGCAGTGGATCAGTTCGCATATCCTGGACTTTTTGCTGATCTAAAAGGAGAGACGCCTCATCTTCATTTATTTTTGGGCATAACTGAGGAATTTTTGACTAGATCCATATTTCATTTTTACTCTCTTATTTTTGAGGGTATATCTAATGATAATTCTATTACTAGTAATGAAGGTCATCTGAACTTGATAGGCAGTCATGCTTCTGTTATGAAACTGCAGAATCTCTTCAATAAAGTAATGGAAGGCAATGAAAGAAAATTATTATCTAGATTGAAAAGGGCAGATTCATTTATTTATTGCTTTCTTTTGCAAACTATTTCTTTTAAATTCTGGGTATGTGTCGCCAATGGAACCTATGAACTTCATGAAGGTTTAGGTGATGCTTGCTCAAACGAAGAAACCATGGCTAACGTAATATCTGAAAGACATTCTAAATTATTAGATAATTTGAGCGCTTGGAATAAAGAAGACATAGTATCTAAATTAATTTCTCGGTTTAATTAAATATATACAATAAATAACCATAATGTGAAAATGACCTCCAATTATCGTATTCTATACATACTGACTACGATATATAAAAGTTAAAATTCTAGTTTAAGTACCGTAGGAATATTGAAATGTCTAAGTAGAAATTTTCCTCTTTGAGATATTTTGGGTATCATATTGTAGGTAAAGAACCCAAACTATCACCGATCACTCCCGAGAATAATTCAAAGTTAGACTGCAACAATTGCTGTAGAACCTCTTGCTCGTTAGAGGAAATTTCAGGATTTCTAGGTACCACTGTTAAGTTGTCATAGACACTAGCTTGTTCAAGAACATCTTTCATCATATCCAGGAGGGTATAGTTAAATCCAGCAAGAGCAATAGGGTTGGTTGTATAATATAGCACAATGTTTATGTCAAGGGGGCCCAGTCCCCATTTCAATTTCATCATATCTAATATTTTGAGAGGAATCTCATCCGTTTCGCTCGCCTTACGCCAATAATCGTCTGTAATCTTGACAAGAAGATTATTTTCAATTATATAATAAACATACTTTCCCATCAACATAACTTGATAACAACCAAAATATGTATCACCATATTTCGAAAGCGTACTGTGTATGATACCATATATTTGATTCTTTATCAGACCAGATATATCATGTAGCTTTTCAAGCATGATCCCTTCAGTAGTGTCTGGCCTTTCTAAGAAGATATATTTATTGGAGGTGTCCTTATTCTGTAAAATAGAACTTTTATAACAAATTCTCAATATTAGTCCAAGTTGAATGCTTTGAATTTTAATTACAATAAATGCGACAGATTTGTTGATGCAATATTCATGGGAACGCAATATAACTGCTGCATATTCACCATCAAGGTACTTCTTTACCAACGACGTCAATTCAAGGTATGTATCAAAGCATTGTAAGACGAATTGGTGATAATACTTTTGATATTTTTCTAATTCTTGGCAACATTTTTTTTCAAAATAGAGTGATAACATATAAAATATATTCATCAAACTTGAAAAGAAAATTAGATTTATTCTTAGTATTACTGTCTTTTCAATAGATGATATATTAAAATGTGCACCTCTCCATTCCATTTGCACTAACTGCTTGTTATCATCATCGTTTAGAAGCTTAGATAATGGAAATTTTCTAAATGTAAATTCTTTCAACCGTTCTATTGCTTGATGAATATCATACAAATTTGGATTCTTGCATTGGGGACCACAGTTTACCATTAGTTTATTCATTAACATATGGAACTGATACTTATTATCATGTAAAACAAATATTTTTCGATCTGTAAGTGTAGAGGTATTAAATTGTTCGATAAACGATGGGATAGATGATTTAGTATTATTGATAAAGATTTCAAGATATTCAAAGTCAGAATCTCTACATCCACCGTCAGCAGTTATAATCTCAAGTCTTAATGATTGCAGTCCTATCCACAATTTTCTTCTATACATGAAAAATGGCTGAAATGGTATTTGTCTATCAAAATATCTTACAAATTGTGATGGTTCTTCGTGCAGACCGAGAGTATATGCCATGTCTGTTAAACATTTTAATGTTAGTATACTATTATGTGAGATGTGTTCTTCGGCATTTCCTGGGTTTAATATTTCCGATATTAAGAGATATAGCGAACAACACAGGATGTTTTCTGTAGTGTATTTAAATCCATTTAATAAGGATAATATCTTTTGAGAAAGTAACAACAGCTTTGTAGCTATATATCCTGATTCCTGGTCGTATAAGATTATTTCCTCACTATTCAAATTAGGATCTCGAAGCGTCAAGCAAATAATTATAAGAAATAATGTTAAGCTTTCTAAACGTTCCCTAATGTTTTCTTGAAAGATGAGAATAGTGTATGATAAACTGACTCCATCATCAATTAATATTTTCCTTATATCGCTTTCGAATAGAGGTATTTCTATTAGTGGGTAAAATGGATATATATTTTGATAGAAATGCTTCAAAAGTTTATTAATTTTCTTTTTATGTGGTAATAAAAGTTCAACCTCAGTGATTAATTTCTTAATTGTAGAAACTAAAGATGGATGCATTCTGTCTTCGATTGTAAATATTGTATTGAAGTACTCCCAAGGTAATTGATTGTTGACATTATCGTTTGTCTTGGCTACCCATTTAACCACAGCATCTTCAATAAACATGAGAGGACTGATTTCGTTAACAGTTTTTAAAAGTCCAGAGTTGATAAGCCCTTTGTCGTCATTGTTATTATATTTGATGTATTCCAGTCTGCTTTGCAAGTCCGTGAGTGTCGTTCCGTGTACAGATGGACAAAAGAATCTCAGGTATGGGTCATGTTGAGCTATACTGTGTGTAGCATATGGTAAATCAACGTATGTATGATATCCATGACTGAGGAATTGCTTGTTTATATCCCACATTTCAAGTTTTTCATTGAATCCAGATGGTTCTACCTTAAATTCTCTAGCATCAGCAAAGGAATTGTTTGTCATAATACTTGATATAATATTTGGGCTGATTGATTGAACACTGACACCTGAGCTGATATTGCTTGCCGGAGTCTCAATTTGGTTTGATACAGGTAGTGCTTCACTTTGACCATAATTGTAAGAGCATATTCTTCCTACACGTACGCATCTTGAACATTGAGGGTGGACACGATCACACTTCAATTTTTGTGCTTTGCATGCGACACAGACTGATGGTATTCTTGGTTTTTTCGCAACTCTTGGTTCCATCAGAATGGTTTATACAAGGTGATTTTGGAAGGATTTTTACGTGTGAGCTTTTCTTTCTTTTGAATAAAAAAAACGAAGTGTTAGAATTCATATAAGTTGTTAACGAACTACTAATAGGTAACTTTTCCTAATGGTTTAGGACTTTCTGGTCGATAGTTGATGTGTTTTTTGAAAGAGTTTGGTTGTCAGTTTCTTCAGTTGATGAGAGAGGAGTCGGTCATTTCTGCGTCGGTTCGGCCGAAATTGTATTTCTCATTTTCGGGTTTGTTGTTGTCCTGAAGCGAAATAAAATTACCTCACAATAGATTTTTCTAATTTGATACCTACTAGAAGCCTACATACCTATATACCTTTCGGAAGAATATACAATATTTTAGAGAAAAGAATAGGTTAGATCATCGTAACTCGAATTGAAGGTTGTGTATAGTGCCTTCCAGAAATTCTGTTTTGTCACTTTGGAAATATAATGAACTGATAACAAGACGTCATTTATATTGAGATGGTATTGTTCTTTTGCTTTACAAGTTTCAATAGTTGAGAGAAATGAAACCATTTGATATATAATTTGTTTTCTACATATATTTCTCGCATTTTTTGTTCTCGTAGATTTATTTCACATGAAAATTACACATTCTGGACATAATTGGAGCTTAATAATCGCTCTTAAAATAAATTAATAGGTCAGGAGTCAAAATTAGAAACAATAAGAACAATTAAGGGCTTCTATCTTGTCAAAAGAAAAGATTAAAGATTCGATTTATGTAGTTTATCTGATTTGTCAAATACATTTCAAGAAATAGAAAGATAAAAAGCAATTATGGTTTCATTTTATCCTTCTTCATATCACCTTAACAATATCATACGGTCTGTAATATGTATTTATTTTTTCAGATTATTAGCATAATACTGAAACAATATCGAAGTACGAATCAATTAAGGAGAAAGGGGTATTTTTATTTTGTATACTTGTTCTGGTGTGAAAGACAATTAATTGACGTTGAAACAGAAAATGTCCCTGTAGGTTATTCGTACCAATTTTAAACCTTATGCTGCATTAATGCAGTATACGTTAATGAAACGGAATTACAACGTTAGAAGGTTTTCTTTCCAGTCAGAAAATTTTCCGTAAGGCATAAAACTTAATGGTACCTTTTTACTTAACTCCTAGTGGAATCTTTTGAAAAATATGGTTTTAATATTGTTCACAAAAAGAAAGGTACAGTAGAAAAGAGTTTTGCTCCTTCTTCCTCTGTGAGTATTGGACCTCTGCGTTGATTTCATTTTGGGTCACTAAACAATTCGTAGCGTTAGAAGTGTGAAGATTTGTAACTATTTGATTGCTGTTCTTCATTTCACAGAAACAATTGTGCAAATAGGTACATATCTTCTAACCTTCGCAGACATTCCTAAGATCCGCTCTGTTCCGCGCATTCTTGAGATCTGAAACTGCCGCATCTACATTGCTTTTCTATGACCCCACTATGAATTGAACCAAAAAAAAGCTCAACGGACAACAAAGCTTCTGTTTTGGGTTTTATTATTCTTCCAGGAATGCAGTGAAACGGGAGTTGACATTGAGTAGTTTATGAATATAGATTGTAGGTGCAGCCATATCTTCCCAGTAGAATAACGTTGTGTTGCGATAAAAAGTTATTGCTTTTTTTCTGTAAGCTTCTATTATTGAAAGGAAGGTGTTTTTGATGGCACGTAGTGGGGGTAGATAAAACATGTTTCAGATCTACATTCTTGAAATTACACGCTATTTTTTTATTTATTTTTGTTGCTTTTTATCCCAATTGACTTGATGTGTAGAATTGTGTCATGAAACAAGTGGGGGTCGGTGATAATTGAAAAAACCGATTATATTTTATGAAACAACATCATACTATTTGCATTCCTGATATGATAAGTAATATGACATACATGAGATATGAATCTACTTTGAGTTGTAAAAAAAGAACATATATAAGGAGGACCTATATATTTCCAATTTACTAATTTCAACTTCATTCTACTTCTTTTATTTTATTCTCAATCATAAGAAACCATCAACAACAAGTATTCTCATACTTTCCACATTTCAAATAAAAATAATTTCAACGATAAAAATGTCTCAAACTTGGTTTTCCAAATCCACCCTACTTTCCTTAGCTGTTCTTTTGACTGCCTCCATTGCTTTGCCAGTTGTCAAGAGGGACACTATTAAGATCGGTAACAAAGGTTGGTACTTTGACTTAAGCGCTGCTGACACTTCTGCTTGGGCTGGTGCAGTCTCCACTGTCTGTGCCTCCGGTAACGTTGGTGTCTGTGCTGGTGAAACTGTCGTCGCTACCGTTCTAACTGGTATCATGGCACTAGGTAACACTGGTTCCACTACCTCTTCTTCATCCTCTTCTTCTGATGATAACACAGTTGCTATCACTACTGCTGCAGCTGCTGATGTTGGTGTTACCACCACCGTCGCAGCTCCTGCTGCCACCTCATCTGCCTCTGCTTCCAATATCTTAGGTAACGTTGTCTCAGCTGTTGAAAACGTTCCTAAGGAAATTGAAAGTCTTCTATCTGGCTCTGGTGTTAATTTGTTAGGTGTCTACAACATTTCTTCAAAGGTTTCTGGTGCTGTCCAAAACATTATCCATTTCGATACTTCTCTAGGTCAGCATATTGCTGCTCAAATTGGTGGCGAAGCCGCAAACCTAACTCAATTAGCTGAACAAATTGTTAAGGCTGTCCCAGGTATTCCAACATTCTCTAACTTGACTGTCCTTTCTGAACAAGCTGTCCAAGCTGCTGCCAAGGACAACGGTGAAAATGTTATTAACTGGATGACTTACAACATAAAGGATGCTGAAGATGGTCTAACTGATATTATTAACAGTCTAGGTGGTGCTGACATGTCTCAATTCGCCACTGAAATCAACAATTTCATTTCAAACAACGGTGCCTGGAAGTTCTGTCTATCTCCATCTACTCAACTTGTTAATGTTACTGTTAGTGAATCCCACAAGTTATTCGGTGAAATCTACTTGAACACTTACGGTGGTATTGATGCTGAATGTCAATGAATGAAGATATTTTAAAATATAACTTCTCATTTTTTTTTTCAAGGATTGATTCCTGATAACTTACAGTTCTTTTTTCCCCCTTTTCATTACCCCAATGTTATAAAATTAGTATAATATTGACTGGTTTTCAATTTTTTCTTATTCATTTTTTTATACATTACATAAATACATAGCACTTCAATACACGTCATATCATTAAATATACATTAAAAAGTTATCAAGTTATCATCATAATTTCTCGACATTAATTAATTACAAATATATATATAAAAAGAATACATATATACGAAAACAAATAAATTTCACAATTTTTGTAACGACTCCATTATATCATATTGAATATCTATAGGTCTCATTAAGGAATTATACCTTTTTATAACTTTACCATTTCTATCTACCAAAAACTTTTCAAAGTTCCACCTTACACCTTTCACACCTAAATCGCTTGATAATTGTGATTGTAAAAATTCAAATACTGGATGTTGTTTTGGACCATTTACGTATACTTTTGGGAACATCGAGAACGAAACACCGTAGTTACGTTTACAAAACAATCCGATTTCTTCATTACTTCCTGGTTCTTGATGACCAAATTGATTGCAAGGAAACCCCAGCACTTCAAATCCTTGGTCCTTAAACTTCTGGTACATATACTCCAGCTCTTTATATTGGGGTGTATACCCACAGTTTGACGCTACATTTACTATCAGCACCACTTTGCCTTTCAGTTGTTCGAAAGAGTAATCCGTTCCATCATTCATCTGAACAGCTAGTTGGTAAAAATCTCTCGACATGACTTAAAAAATTCACAACCCTTACTTTATTGTACTCCTTGAAACTGCTGCAACAGAGTACCTTGTAAGCTCTATCCAACATGTATACCTCTACATACGACAGCGTTATATAGATTTATTTAAACAGATGTATGGCACATCTTTGTATTATGTCAGAATGCAAAACCTTGTTTTCGCTTTTGGTCTTTTTCGCCTGAAATACTTTTTGGCCAAAAGAATTCGAAAATTTCGGAATTTTTGAGCTGCAGAATTAATTGTTTGTGCGGAAGTTTCCTACAGAACCTTCCTATTTTGTAAATCCTATTCTCAATTACGTGAAACAGGTATCGTTCCCATGTGTAAGTGAATAAGGCTTAAAAAAATATTTTGAGGGTGTCAGAGATTTCTACCCTACCGTACGCAAATAGAAGTGATAGCTAGTGGTTCTTAATACAAGAGTAATTACCAACCAGTTGTAAACTTTTTTTGCCTTTGCCAACCATTGTTAAGCTTAAAAAGAAGAACTACCTCAAGGATACTTTTGAAATTATATGACCTGTATTGTTTGAGTCTTGACTGAATAGGTATTATGGTATTTCTCGTTGTGTTCACTGGTTCTTGTTTATTTGTTTTTTTCTACCCAACACGCTTGAGCTTGAACGGATTTAAGGAACTCTTGTAATATCCACAGAAAAAAAGTTTCAATTATGACATAAGAGGGGAAAACTAAAGGGGACAGTACACCAATAATGAGCAAAGTAATTGTGGTAACAGGTACCTCTAGAGGTATTGGTAAGGCTATTGTCGATGAATTGATGATTATGGACCCTAATGTCGTGGTGTATGGTGTTGCAAGGACTGAAGCCGCATTAAAAACGTTATCAACCCAATATAACGGTAGATTCTTTTATGTTACGGGCGATATCTCTAAGAGCTCTATTCAAAGAGAACTGGTTTCTGCAATTACGAAACAACACGGACGTTGTGATGCATTGGTGGCTAATGCTGGTGTTTTAGAACCAGTAGCTCCTGTGGATGAGTACAATCAAGATCAATGGTTAGCACACTTCAACCTAAATTTCTTTAGCATCGTGTTTTTAGTTTCGCAATTATTACCGCTATTAGAGGAGACTCGTGGAAATGTTGTCTTCGTCAGTAGTGGTGCTAGTGTCAAGCATTATTATGGTTGGTCCTGCTATGGTGCAGCTAAGGCCGCTTTAAACAGTTACGCCCAAGCATTGGCCAGCGAAAAGTCTCGTATTCGGAGTATTGCAGTTGCACCTGGTGTAGTTAATACACAGATGCAAGTAGACATCAGAGACACGTTTGGGCCAAGGTCAATGACCCCCGAGGCTCTCAAGAGGTTCACCGACTTGCAAGAAGAAGGTCAGTTGTTACCACCAAACGTTCCAGGTGCGGTGTACGCCGCACTCGCACTTAATGGTATTCCTAAAGAACTCAACGGAATCTACATCAGATACGACGACCCACGTCTGGCAGAGTCATAGCTTCAACAAAGCTTCCTTTGCTTATCGATGACACATTTTTACCGTCATCATCACCCTATTAGTCTATCAATATTTACTCAGCTATATATATATATATTCAAACTATTTATTTAATGCTACTACTGTCGTTATTGATATTATTCCACCGGAAATAATTCCGAACTACTCGCTGTGTGGTCACTTCAACAACTTTCCCAGCGGAATTTGCTTTCCAGGCTGCGAAAAAAAAAAAGTTTCAGTTAGTCATCGTAAATTGTAAATTAGCTCAGCAAAAGCCAATGCAAGTTAGCCAACGCAAGCTAGGTTTGAACTTAGTTTAACGATTGCAATGGAATATGAGGTTGCGGATGAGACTGTACACATTCTGGAGGAGGTTAGGTATATAAAGAGAGAGAGATTTTGTTAAAATGATTGATTGTTCGTTTGTTTGTTTATAATTTATTTTCTAAAATGTAGAAGAACTTCAATATTCTCCTAAAATAAGAAGTATACTATCTACTTTTAAGAAAGACAAAACAAAAAAAGAATGCCTGTTACATTACATCTAAGAGCTGAAACCAAGCCTATGGAGGCTCGTGCTGCCCTAACTCCAACCACCGTGCAACAGCTTATCGGTAAGGGTTTCAAAATCTACGTCGAGGAATCTCCACAATCCACTTTCAACATCAACGAATACAAGAAAGCTGGTGCTATTATCGTTCCAAAGGGTGATTGGATTTCTGCTCCTCGTGACAGAATCATTATCGGTTTGAAAGAAATGCCAGAAGAGGACAAGTTTCCTTTGGTCCATGAACATATCCAATTTGCTCATTGTTATAAGAATCAAGATGGCTGGAAGGATGTATTGAAGAGATTCATCAATGGTAATGGTACATTATACGATTTGGAATTTTTAGAAAATGATGAAGGTAGAAGAGTCGCCGCCTTTGGGTTTTATGCTGGTTTTGCTGGTGCCGCACTAGGTTTGAAGGATTGGAGTTTTAAACAAACTCATCCTGATAATGAAGATTTACCTGGTGTTACACCATTCCCAAATGAACAAAGATTGATTAAAGACATCAAGAAGGATTACCAAATTGCTTTGAAGACTGGTGCTAAGAAGCCAACTGTTTTAATAATCGGTGCTCTTGGGAGATGTGGTTCCGGTGCCATTGAATTTCTACACAAGGCTGGTGTTCCAGATAGTAATATTATTAGATGGGATATGAAAGAAACCGCTAAAGGTGGTCCATTCCAAGAGATCGCTAACGCTGATATTTTTATCAATTGTATATATTTGTCCAAGCCAATTCCACCTTTCATTGACTATAAATTATTAAACAACAAAAATAGAAGACTAAGAACAGTTGTCGATGTCTCTGCTGATACTACTAACCCATATAACCCTATCCCAATTTACAACATTGCTACTGTTTTCAATAAACCAACGGTCAGAGTAAATACTACCGCAGGTCCAAAATTATCTGTGATCTCTATTGACCATTTGCCATCTTTATTGCCAAGAGAAGCATCTGAATTTTTTGCTAGGGATCTATTACCATCTTTGGAACAATTACCAGAAAGACAAACAGCACCAGTATGGGTGAAGGCCGAGAAACTATTTGATAGAAACTGTGCTCGTGCTTACAGATCATCCAAATTGTAATACGATTTGTCATCAATTATCATACATTATCTTTATGTACATACAGATATATTTTCATTTAATTTAATTATTCAATACAACTACTTCATGATATTTTCCTACAATTTGCTGAGACTTATAGAACGTCTTTTATAATAGAAAATGTTAGACCCAATCGAAAGTATTATCTGATGAGCTGAAACTTAACAAGGAACGCAAGTAGAGAGAGTTAGGGTTTAACATTCTGAGTCTCATAAGACGTGTGCCTTAGTCTCAGGCTAGATATGGTATGTATTAACAAGTACATACGATCTTTATATAATATTGGATGCAGAACTTTGCTTATGGAGAGGACATACAGATTGATTTGCATAGTCTATATCTATTTACAATGTCTTACATTAACGATTATGATCTTCAGGAAGAAATGATTGAATCAACCTTTTTTTTAAGGGTATGAGCTTAACATGATATTGTAGACCTGCGGAACTAAATTTTAAACCCGTTGGAGCAGGTTTTGGGCGAATCATCAGCTTCCATAGATGGTAATAGTGGCAAAATTATTAGGAATTTGAAATAAGTTTTTTATTAGAAAATAACAGAACAGGTTTACAGTTTTAAAGATTGCTGATCGTTCATTGGGTGCTCTTATTTAGAAGTTCACTAGTTAAAGTTGCCAGTTATAAGGAAGCTGTAAGTAATATAATAGATTTGAATATCACACTCAGATTAAATGACTTGATGTTACAAAGTAGCTCGAAACAATTATCCGATAAATTGAAACTGTTCTTACTCTTAAGCAAACTGACCAAACTGAGGTTCTTTCCTGCGACGTACATAATATTATTGAACGTGTAAAGAAGTGAAATTTCTTTGAAGATATATATCTTTTTATATATGTATGCAGCTTCGCAACTTCTATATGGGTCTATGTAAAACTACTATATACATTATATTCTAATGGTGAACTCTGTAATATAGACAGATCAATAACGTTAGCAATATTTTAGTATTAACAGTTTTCCTTCTTAAACGTCTTTAAATTGAAATTGAAAGCACGTTAAATATTTCAACTTTTAGATTAAGTTACACAATGGATTATAATATTTTTAAACTGGATCTAAATATAAAAATAAAAATTATCTCCTAAGAAACTCTGTAAATTATTGTCCTCAAAAAGTAATTTAAAATTATTATCATTATTATTTTATTGTTTACAGTTGTGTCTCCCTTCATTCTTTTTCGCTATCACACTAAACGTAAAATTTTATAAAAATTATCAAATTATAAAAATAAATCATAAAAAAACTAAATTGTCATATTTTAAATAATTATATATACAATATCATCTATACAATTCAACCAATAATCAGATCATTCAATTTCTTTGTCGTTGGGAAATTATTTAAATTCTCAGTGACATAATTCTTCATTCTTTGATTACCTAACCAAATCTTACCGAGACCTACCATCAGATAACTTTTAACCAATTCTGTTGATTTCGTGATAAAACTTGACTCGTTACCTTGGTAGATGCTATTGAATATCACAAACGTTAATAATAATAGAGTTAAGGGAATCCAAAAGAACAATAACATGTTATCATTCTGGAAAGTTTTCTTTTGATTAACAAAAAATCTGTTCAATTTACGTTGTAACATATCATCTTCATCATCTTCAGAGGTCGATGATGCATTATGTGTGTCCTGGGATGACTCGATTTCTTGCCTTATTACTCCGATCTCTTTAGTATCCTCATTTACATCACCATTTGGTCTAGGGAACAAATCGTCATAGCTAGGTAAGTCATCATTCAAATGATTTAACATCCTATCCCATAGTGATTGTCTTTTAGTGCTATTACTTTCTGTTTGATCAGCTTGTTCTCTGATTACAGGGCTTTCAATAATTTGAGGCTCAGTTTCCACGGAACTTGTATCACCGTTAACACTTTGAATATATCTGTCCTCACCCATATCATTATGCTCTTCGTCGTTATTTTCATCATCTTCCGAAAATGAGATATTATCTTCGAAATCACAATCTGAAACATCACTTCCACTTCCACTGTCACTATCAGCATCAGCATCAGCATCAGCATCAGCATCACTATAAAGGTCATCAAAGATTCGTCTTGATCCTAATCTCAATGCATTCTCGTTCAAATCCTCATTAAATATACTTGAGTCCATACTCGAATGAGAAGATATTCTTGATAAATCATCAGAATTGTTGTTCTTACTTTCGTGTTTATCGAACAATTCTTCGATTATCTTGAATGATTCATGAGTCTGTTCATTGAAATTATCCACAAATAATTGTTTTGGAGTAATATGACTACCGTTTTTAATTCTAATATTGGAATTACAGCTCAGTAATAAAGTAATAACCTTTTGGTCACCTCCAATAGCAGCAAAATGTAATGGTGTAAAATCGAATGAATCTTCAATGGTCAATCTAACCCCAGATTTGATCAATAATAAACTTAAATCATAATAACCACTCAAAGCAGCTAGATGCAATAATGTTCTTCCGGCTGTATCACACATCGATAAATGAGTTGTTGTCTTATTCATTGATTTTATCACTTGAATTATCAATTTTTCATCTGTGACATCGGCATTATAATTGTACTGAGAACTATCCATTGTAGCGTTTTGTCCCTCTGTTGGTCCTGAAGCGTCTTCGCCACTACCAACTATTTTTTTGGCAATATTTCTTGCATCATCTAATCTACCATTCATTTTCAAACCAACAATTTGTAAAGCCAGTTCAATTAATTGTCTATCCGTTTCATCGGTGTAAGTAAACACTGAGCTCTGTATATTATTGTTGGTATAACTATGTGGTGGTAATTGACCATTATTGTTTGGATCATCTGGATCTGTCACCGTCACTAATACCTGGCCTGGTGTCTGTGTTGGAGGTAAATATGTTACCATTGTAGAACTATTCCAACATTGAGTCGAAAGAGCCAAGTTATTTCCAAATCTAACCTTTAAACCATCTTTGAAGTTAGACCCAAGTAGCGTGACCTCGATACCACCTGTAGTTGGACCTTTACCTGGGATGACACGTTCCAATGTAGGTTGGTTTGGATCAATTTGATCATTAAACGTGTTAAGGTCATTGGTAAAATCTGTCAAGAAAGCAGAATTCGATGATGAGGCAATGTTTAAATGTGATCTTTTTCTTGGATTTTGTGTAGTTGGAGTGAAAGCCAAATTATTAAAATTCATTGAATTTTGCCTTGGTAAGAAATCTGCTGTGGTAGCAGAGGAAGAATAATCCTGATAATTTGCACTAACATACTCACTAGTAAACGATTCGGAACCTCCTTCACTCAAAGAATTTGGCGATGGAATATAACGTTTCGGTTGTTGTGCAGGTAATGAAGGCGAGACAGCACTACTGCTGTTCAAGGATTGATTACTTGCGGAGCGAGTATCCTGTATATTTTGAATCGATGATGATATTGTTGTATTTGCACTCGACAAAGTCGGTACCAAATCATTCTTGGCGATCAAATCTATCACCGAATCTGAATTATTTATTGATGAAGGTTTTCTATCAGTAATTATTATTGGTGTCGTAATTTGTTTTGCAAAGACATTATTTTGAGAATCCAACACGACCAATAATATCTTGAAGCCATCGTTAGCTTTATGATGTCTACAGTAACAAACCATTCTAGTGGTAAGTGTAACTTCTTTATCCTGTTTCAAAGCCAATAATTGTTTATTATTAAATAAAATAGCACTTCTTCTTGGATTATCACACCATAACAAATTATCGCTGAGTCCTGATTTTCTACGAGATGCACGACGTTGCTCTCTTTGAACACATTTCATACAGACATCGACTACTTTGGGACTAGACATCATATATTCATCGTTAATCAACAGAAAAGTCTTAATTTGAAGAACTTTATCTACCGATGGATCAGATTCCAGAGTCAGTGGTTCTTGCAGATAGAATTTTTGTCTGGATATTGTATTTGTAGGTAGTTGAACGTAGTGTTTACCATGCAGCGGCTGGTCGAACGTGAGGGTCACCTTGAGTTGATTTTCCACCCTGGTCACTTCAGGCAAATCATTCACAGTCAATTTATAAGGTAAACTGTCTTCATCAAGATTGACATACTGTATCAACGTAGTCAAATCCACTGTATTGTTCTCGACGGCCGAATCTGGATCTATCGGCAGACTCCTACCAAACAATACTTTATCATCAATAATCTGCTGATAATTCACGACGGCATCGCCGGAATCTATGATAGGCATGGACGTATCCACTTTGATACTGTCGAAATGTTCATCCAGCATGTGGCTCAACGAGGCGTCCTCAAAGACTTGTTTCTCTTCGATATGGTCGTCAAACATCGACGGGTCTCCTAATTTCAAATACATCATCTCATCCCCGTCATGGCCGGAGTTCTCATCCACGTTTCTCGGATCGTAGTTCATCATCAGGTCATCGGGCAGTACACTCATCGCAATGTATGTTTACTCCTGTCCTAAAATATTCAAAGGATAAGCAACTAAATAAAAAACACCACGAGCTCAACTTATCTATTCCCTATCTCGAGTGGGTGTAGTTGACGTCCCCTTCCATTATATATCTATTGGATTACCTGTCTCCTGCCCTCAACGAAACCCACCAGCGGGAATCTCCGCAACATTTTTTTCGCTTTGCTTTGGCTGTTCGGTTTAACCGCCGAACTTTTTTTTGTTGAGAGGGGCGCCGTACCTCGTAGAGAGTGACACGCGTTTTTTGTTGAGCACCCTCGTGTCTAGTGATGTAGCCGTGTGTCTGGGTAACATCCCAACACACAACGAGAGCGAATCGTGACCAATCGCTGCCTACCTGTGTGTAGTCTGCAGTTCGACTCTCCTAGTTGGGCTGCTCAGCTTGCCCAGAGCTATATCTCTTCCTGCCCACTCGCCCAGTCCTTTTAGGGCAGAGCAACATCCACTGATGGCAGTCCCATCTCTCGCTGCTGCCGCTGGAGCAGTCGACTTTTGGTTGCTTCCAGCTGCATGCGGCGCTACCACTCCCAAGCCCTAACTTTCCCGAAACCCTAAAGCTCATCTCAAGAAATTTTTTTTTCGTTTTTTGCACTGAAAAATTTCATGGCGAAAGGAATTTTTGCGATGCCCTCAAAAGAAAGGCCTGGGGTCGCTATAAGAGGAAGCTGGGCTCGATCGATGCTACTGGATGCTCTTCTACTCTGAACACGCCATACGCTGTACGATCGATCGAGGATAATGACTGATAAGACTGTTAAGTTTGCTGAAGGTGAGACTGTTGCGGAGGCTGCTCCTGCCGTTGTTGAACCATCGAAATTCACTCCACATCCTGATGTGAGCAGAATCCTGGGTAATATATATATCAGTGGGGTTCAGCCTATAGTGGACCACACACCTTTGAAAGTTCAATATGGAATCACACATATTCTTTCAGTGATAAGATTCAATGTTATTCCCGAATATTTGGTGAGGAAAGGTTATACTTTGAAAAATATTTCTATCGATGATATTGGTACAGAAGACATCTTGCAACACTTCAACGAGACTAATAACTTCATCGACGAATGCTTGTTCCCAAATGAGTTAGAATATAATCCAGCTGTTGTTGATTTCAAGAAAAAACCACAAAAGGGTGGGATCCTGGTGCATTGCCAAGCAGGTGAATCAAGATCTGTGGCATTTGTCACTGCTTATCTAATGTATAGATACGGTTTGAAAGTAGACCAAGCTGTATACGCGATCAGAAGGAAGAGACCAGCAGTGCAAATAAATGAAGGGTTTATGGAACAATTGAAACTTTTTGAATCCATGGGATCTCCTCAGACTATCGACTATTTGAACGATAAAATATATAAAGTTTGGAAATTGGAAAATATGTCTGTACAAGAAAATTTCCAAATAGAAAAAGATTTCTATAAAGAAGGGAACGATGAAGATATGGAACTGAAACAATTAAATAAAGACGATTTGTCTCAGGTCACCGTGGTTAGATGTAAGAAATGTAGACATAGACTGGCGTTATCCACTAGTTTTATTCCTCATATCCCACCAAGTAAGGACTCCAGTGAATCCCATTTCATTAGAAAAGCAGCTAATTCCAATAGAGTTATTGATATTCAAGAATCTCAAAATACCTGTTCGCATTATTTCATGGAACCTCTGAAATGGATGGAACCAGAATTATCCAAACAAGAATTGGAAGGGAAATTGGCGTGTCCAAATTGTGAAATGAAAGTCGGTGCTTACAACTGGAAAGGGTCGAGATGTAGTTGTGGGAAATGGGTGACACCTGCTATCCATTTGCAATCCAATAGAGTGGACCAATTCCCATTAAACAAAGTAGCATTACCAAACATAGTCAATTTCAAATCGAGGGAATAGTTGCCTCATACATAATTATATAAAGTATTTATATATGTATATCTATTCAAATGTATCCTCACCTTCACTATCATCATCGTCATCGTAACATATTGCGTTTTCTTCGTCCCAACTTTCATTCTCTTCGTCATCATAATACGCATCTTCTTCGTCGTCCTGCTCAGCTTCTCCTTCAGGTTCTTGTATAGTAAGGCCCAATATATTGGCGTTATCGAATGTGTCTATCCCAGAATGCTCAACCGAAACATCAGACGTTTGAAACGATTCGTGAAACCTAAAATTCAACTCGTTCCTGCCAGCTACATTACCCATTCGGCGTTCAAGACTCAGATTTGATGCTTGGTTTTCATCATCTTCATCACATCTAACTTCTCCATTCTCATCAGACGGTATACATCCTTGCAACATGAAGGGCGAATCAACATTTGATAGATGTGTTACACTATTTCGATTCCATAACGAATCATATATGCTATTGGTCAATATCTGTTGTTGGACGACTTCAGGCTCTTTCCCATTGGACCCAAATCCAATTGGTTTAAAAATGTTGTCCCCCAAAGAACGTAATTGATTTCTCCTTCTATTTTCTTTTGCCACTTCCACACTCAAGTAATCGATCTTCCCTTTTAGGTTTCTCGAATAAAATAATGGTCGTGATCTCGTCGCACTATAAGAACCAAGCGAGTGCATATACTTGTTTCCTCGTATCCTCGTTCTTTCAGTTTTGCCTTGTACCAGATTCCCAGGTAGTCTTTTCCCTTTATCTCGATCATGCTCCATTTGTTTCTTAATATTACGGAAGAGAGGCAGATCGTTCAACGAATTTTTATAGGTACTTCCAAACATTTTTTGTCTTATAGTGCTTTGGTTTTCTGAACTTTAAAACAGACTCAATCAATTTAATCTCATCACAGTGTCTTCACTCTACATCCATTGGAAGGACACCACCTTCTAATGACAGATCTACTTCTACTTGCTACCGTTGCTAGTATTATTGACGCAACGGCTGTTGTTGTTGTTATTTGCCGCCTCTTAATTTTTCGAGTTCGCGATGCTTTGTTATTCTATATGTGAATCTCCTAATACAGTAATTTATAATATACAAATTTTATTCAAAAATATTATTTAAATATGGTATAAATTAATCTAATTATTTACACACTCTCTTGAGTAAATTCTGGGTCTCATCGACCGTCCAGTCAAGTAATCTCTTCTTTGAATTGATAATTTCGACGTAACTCCCCAAGATCTCTTGACTATTCAACTTTTGTTCTTCGAGAATTAGTTGTCTTTTCAAAGTCTTATCTGAGTTTGTTATTTTGTGCTCCCTCTTGGATTCCGCAATTTCATCTAGACTTCTAGTAATAGATATTTGCTTCAATTCCATATCAGATACACCTCCAAATCTTGTGATCAATGTTGCTCCACCGTCATCCATTCTTTGAATCTTGTATATAATCGATGCAATCATTGAGTTCATATTAGCGTTCAAATATGGAACGTTTGTAATATTAGACACCCATTCCATTACAGATCTTTTCTTCAAAAAATCGACATCTGCTTTGGATCTTATACCGTCTTCCAAAGTCTTCAACACCCAACCTAATTGACTGAAATAATATTCAAAGTTGATATCTGGCTTTGAAGGAGCAATAAGTTCATACATCATAGGAATATCGTTAGAACGAATAGAAGGACCATTTAGAACCCATTTGTAAGCCTTTTCATATAGTTGATTAGTTGGATGAAGCAGCAAATCACAGATTCTACTAGTTGCATACCAAATAATAGGTACGATTTTATTATTTTCTTCTACATTATCATTTGTACTATAAATGATTTTCTTCAATAGAATCTTAAAAATATTACCGTCTTTGAACTGCTGATTATCCTCTAGGGAATTAACCATTTGCGAAAGTATTAGACGTGTAATTTGAACAACATCTTTATCTGTATCTCCCAATGCTCCAACAAAATACTGAAACAAACCCGAAGTTAAATACTTTCTCACCTGGAAAACAATATGTTTCGATGCTGGATCGTCTGCATTATTCTTTTCAGAGACAAGCTCTTTATTATGAATCGAAATTAATAACAAAAACAATGGGTCATATATGACATGGGATGATTCTTTTGGTAAAATATATTCAGTGTCTTGATAAAACAAATTTAAAGTTTCTAAAAGTTCTATATTTGATTTTTGTAAACTCAATTCAGGAATACTAGGTCTTTCGATTCTATAGTTGGAAGTAGAGAAAGCAATATCTCTTTTCTTCAAAGTCAAGATCAATCCTTCCTTTTCTTCGATAAACAGTTTGGTGTTTCCCATTAAATCTAAAGTTTGTTCATCGTCTTCTTCCATAAAATCCCAAGTGTAAATGTTATTGACCCAGACTAATGACGTAGTAGACTCAATGATTTCTAGCATACGTAGGATAAGTCTATCAGTACTTGAAATACTACCAGAGTAAAATGTTAGCAGTTTCTTTTGAACAGTAACATTGGAGTTTCCTGTTGGATCAACGATGAATAAACTATACAACAAAGAAACAACCGAAAACGATAATTTATTTTGCGCAGATATTTTGTTCAGTGGGCAATCCTCATTATTTAAGATAAATTGTACAAGTCTTGCAGATTCAATAAACTTTTGCTTGCTCGATAATACGATAAGTAATGCATAATTGACAACATCTTCATCTGATATCCAATTTTTGCTTAAAATTGCTTCTAGTTGAGAATTCAGTATATTAGTGTTTACTTTCTCCCAAATATTGATTGACCTAACTAGTTCAGTAAAACTCTTTAACGTAGATTGGTATTTCTCTGTCAAAACCTCACGCTCAGTAAATATTTTTGTAATGTAAAGTGTCATCTTACCCAACCATTTAAGAATAAACTCTTCTGTAAACATGTTGGACGTTGCTACTAAATCAACAATCGAATCTGAATACTTGTGTTCGTATTCCTCAGTTGCAAACTTTATGATATTTAAATTTTGTTCTTTGGTTAAGTATTTTTCTCCATAAGTTGAAAAAAGTTTGAAATATAATCTAAAGTTAGAATTAGTCATTTCCTTATAGTTCTTGCAACATGATTCAACCACATTTCTTACAAATGTTTCGCCATCTTGAGACAAGGATGCTTCATATGCTAACCTATTAGCTACAGTAATTCTAACATCACTATCATGCACTTTAGAAAAGAATGGTTCAAATTCAGAAGGAATAAAGTAAGTTGAATTAGTGAATATAGATAGGAGTTCTGCATATTTATCATCGGAGATAAATCTTGACAACAAATCTTGGGAAGACATAGCATGAACTCTTCCATCTTTAATAAAGTTTCCTACTAATTTTTTGGTGACCTCAAAGGCGTCTGTGATTAATGTCAATAATAAGGCATAATCTATATGGTACGATGTATTCTGGTATAACTTTTTCACGATAATTGACGCCAGTTCAGAAGATTGATTAATATCAGCAGAGACAAACTTTGTAAGCTCATCATCAGATATCATTCCAACCAAAATTGATACTAAACTTCTCAAAGAGCTGTTATTTATATTTTTAATCATTTCTCTGTTATTCAACAACCAATCAAATATAAAATCGATAAATGTTTTGTTAAACTGAGGGAGTGCATCCATTACACTTGAAGCAACATTTAACACTTCACCAAGAATGAAAATTGATTTTTCCCTTTGTGACTTGGTGGAATCTTTAGATGAAATGTTGTCAAATAAAACCTTATAAATTCTTTCATCAAGGATATTAAAAGTTTTTGCTGACTGACAATAAACGTTTAAATTTAAACATAAACAACTAACATATTTCTTTAGATTACCGTTTAGTTGAATCTTCTCGTCAGCAGCCAATTGTCTTAACTTGACCAAGATGACAGCTGCATCTAAATCATTAACAGGAATTCTTTGACTCTTCTCTACGCTGGACCACTTAGAGAGAGTTACGAAAAGTGAATAGGATGAGCCGATCCCCTCATTTAATAGATATTCTTGAGATTTCAAAGTTTCAATGCCATCTTCAGAGAAGTCAAAATATACCTTCCTTAAGTTTTCTGGAATATCTAATAATTGTTGAGTTGCAACATTTACAATTCCTATTTGGGACTCACCTACAAAAACTAGAGATCTTAAAAATAAACAAACCCATTTGGAAGTAATATCATAGTTTGTTGTCTTATCAACGAATTTCCATTGTTCAATTAAAGCCATGACGAAAGGTGATATATAATTAAATTCCTTTGACATGTCAACATATTTGTAAATTGTCTTCATACAACGTGAAATACATTCATCCAGTAATTTCCAAATAGAATTCATATCATCAGATTGACTACTATGCAATGAAACTATCTGTAGACTATTAATCAATGCAAATATTGGGGATGCTAAAGTTTTGTTATCAAATATGACTGTGCCATGTAACAAATCGATCAACAATCTAGTTATCTTTAATGTCATGGTTGTCTTTGAGTTTTTGGATGATGCTAATTTCAATAAAGAACTGAATAACGAATTTTGATTAGAAGGTGCATTCCACCATCTCATCTGCGTACCATTAAATTTCTGAAATTGTAAAAATTGATCTAGAATGGCAACATCCATACCCGAAAACGATGGTTTAACCATTATATCGGTGAAGATATTTGGTGTTTGTAGAGATACTGAGAAAAAATTTGAAAAAATGTTACTGTAATAACCTAGAATAGTCGAAAGAGATAACTGTAATATTTGATTATTCTTGTCGGTGTTATATGTGTTAGCTAAAACGTTTGTAAAAATCTGTAAATCTGGAATATTTTTTAATACCATGGTACTGATAACAGCTCTTTGAGAACCCCATCCTTTTTGTGTATATAATTGTAAAATTTTATCCAATTTTTGGAAGGCGAACACTATTAGTTGACATGCTAACTGTTGAATAATCTTATTTTCATGTTGTAAAGCCTTTGTTAATGCAGATTTTGCTAAGGATGAAGGAATAATATTTTCGAAGACTAAACTTTCACTTGGGGACGAATCAGTTTCAACATTTTTAATGAATTCTGGGATATCAAGTCTTATAATTCTACCCAATAGAAGGGTCATACCGAACCAATAAGAGGTCATTTTAGGATCATGAGTACCTAAAGATGATATATATGTACAATATGGAGCGACTAATTCAGGTGTATGGTTTAGAATCTTAATGGTAGTAGTTGATTGCAAATCGTCTTCCCATGGCTTAAATATCCTTAAAAGATTGAATAAAAGTTTATTGTGTAACTTAAATTCTTTTTGATGAACTGTTATTGGAACACCTGTATTGGAACCTGTGATAGGTGATGCTTCAAACCAAACACTGTTATCTGGATATGCAATACTAAATTCAGGAGAACTACCGTATACAATGAAGAACTGGTTGATCTTTTTCACTAGTTCTTTATTCTGCGAGTAATAGAAATGATGCAATTTTGAAATCGTTAATTCGTTTAATACTTTACACTTTGTTGTTCTTTTAAAAAATTTCTCCTCTAGGATACTAGTTGTGAACAATGATACTGCTCTCTCCACCAATTCATCCGAATCATTCTTATCAATGAATTTGAACCATGCACCCATGATCTTGGAATTGTCAGTTAATAAGTCCCTTCTTAATAGTGCAGGAGTCTTACTGATTAGTAAAATCCAAAAATCTAGGAAAGTCTCTCTCATAGTTTTGTAATTTTTACTTTTATTAGAATCATTTTGACGCTTATTTTCAGTTTCTGCCTTTGGTGGCATTAAAATCCTCGTCAAACTTGGTAAAGATAAATCAAAATATGCCAAGAAATCCTCAATATGTTGAGAATTGTTGAAGGTAATCATTTCTTTCATTAGTCTTAAAACTGGGTTAGTCACCTGCGCACGTTGATTATTCATACATCTATACAGGACCTTTACGTAACTTGTCAAAATTAATTGGATTAATAATGTACCATTCGATAATGTGTCTGGATGGGCAGCTAAAATATGCAAAGTCTTAACAAGTAATGAGGTTGCATGAGAAGTCTTCGGATGATTATTTGTCTGTGCATAATATGACCATGTTTGCACTACTTGGTTAGCAAAACCTTTACGGAAGAACTGAATCAAAGGTTGGTAGTCACTAGAAGAAGTTCCATATCCCATATCCTTTAGAATATTTTCTAAGCTATCTAGAACACCATTATCAACATCACTACTTTGGATAGGCTGGTCTTTCTTATTATTATTACCTTTGTGGTGGCCACCGTATTTACCCTTTCCTGCTTCCATTGTGTCTTATACTTCTGGTACAGTTGATTTGATGTTTCGCAGCTTTATTATATTTGAAAAATGCAAGAACAGGTATAAGATATCCTTTTCAAGAGAAAAGTAGTACTTCGAGATGAGGTGAGATGAGCTTCCTTCAGGCATCGCATACTTTTCCTCAATTGAAAAATTTCTTTCGGTGAACTTCGTAGGTAGCGATATTATACCCAGTTAGCCGGGTTTAAAAGAAGAACCTATCTCCATTCACTTAGACAGTTCGTTAAATGTAGAGAAATATTTAACCCTCAAAGATTGTTCAGTGGACTATTGGAACACTAATTACAAAACATACAATTTCGACTCTTTATGTTGCGTACAGCAAGACAACGTTGCGGTCTAAATAGCTCATTCTTGGGGATTGCCAGATGGCAGACCAGGAATCAACATAGTGCATCATCCCTTGGGCCTCCTCCAAAGACTACATTCGACAGATCGATGATTAGACCGTTTGTATGGGTTGTAGTATTCGGATCATTGGTGACCCATGTGATAGATAGAAGACAAGCTTACTCTGATATGGAAAAACGTTATTCATTAAAGAATACTATTTTGAAGGATCTATTGAAAAAAGTTGAAAGTGGTAGTACAACTGTGACAGAAGAACAAATAGAACATGAATTACGATTAGTAAATAAGATGTTTGTAAGGGATAAAAGTTTGGGAATGAAAGAGGTGGAAAATGTGCTTTCCCAAATGCAAATCTCTATCACTAAACGTGAAGAATATGACTATGATGAAGAAGAATCCCTTGAAGATATATGGAATGGAATACTGGAGGAAGCAAATAACGACAAGCCGCTTAAGAAATCAAAGAGGGAGGTTACCACACCACCCTCGATCACTACCAGTACCAGAGTGTTGAACGATATCATTGTTGATAAAGAAACATTAAAACAGTTACGAGAAACGGAGATAGAAGATTCCAATGATTTCTCTCAAAATACCGATCAACATCTGATTGTAGAGAATCCAGGTGAACTAAGTAGCTCTGCTAAATTTTTATAAATATACACACATATTGTAAATAAGAACTAATATTCTAAATTTCCATTACAGAAATGATCACAAAAATAGAATGAATTAACGTCCTGCACTATTTTTAAAATGTATAAATAAGTAAAATCTTCTATAAACGGTTCACACATACATATACTATAATAAGTAAATGACTACATACAAATGTATCTTCATAGTACATTATGTGTCTCCTCAGTTGATATTATTTCTGGTTGAATCTTTCCTTGGGGAGACATTGCACTAGTTTTGGATCCTCTGTGTTCCTGATTACGGGATCGGCTCTCCACTGTTTCTGCCACCATCGAACTTTCACTTGGTTTTGATATTGCTGGACTTGGTGATTGGTGATTTTTACCAGGGGAAAATTGTGGCCTATTATGTGCAGTATGATGAGAAGGTGACATATTATTATTCGAAACTCCCATCTTAGGGGATTGATTATCTCCAAAGAGTGCTGAATTAGATCTGTTCATCCTTGCTCTGTGCTCATGAACCATATTGACATTCAATTCATTCTCTATTGTTGGAGTGGATGCGTATGATGAAGGAGATCCATGATGGAAGTTATTATCACGCAGACCCACCGTTTCTAAATCTGTTGCACTTCCAAAACTGTTTAGTTGTGGCGTACTATCAGGCAGGTTAGACAACCCATGAAGTATATCTTGAGATATTGGATTGGTTATATTTAGTGGTGGTCTAGAGTTATTTGCCTGTTTACCATTTGCTGATAAGTCTGGAGTTCTAAAGGATATAGATCTATCAGTCCCGCCATTTGGAACCTCCTCATCAGTTAAAAGACCTGGAATCTGAGTCAATAACATGTGTATATTATTGAATGCATTACGTAATTTATCAAAACTTTTAGATCTAACTCTCAGGACCCAGATATAATTACGCATCAAATCTCGAAATGTGATAGATTCTTCCTTTGTAGGAGCTGTTACATAAAGTAACGCTGCAAATGTTCCAATTAACATCAAATTTCCAGTGGAGCAACCGTACCAAAAAGAACTGACGTGTTCATTTTTCAAGTCACCAACAAATTCGATAGCTGCCACTAATCTTGTTCTTGCTGCTGTTCTACAAACTTGTACCAATTCCTTTGGCGTGTTTGGTTTCAACGAAGATATGATCTTACGATGTAAGGTAATTTCTGCTGCAAAATATATTAGTGTCAATGTAGCGTTTGAATTAAATTTCTTTTCGGTAAAATTGTTCATCGACAACTGTTTTGGTAAAGAATGATACCATTCTCTTAATTTCAATTGTAATGGTTTAGCAAGTTTTAGAACCTGCTCAATATTGGTGTTTACATGAATGGCCCCTTGAGTATAAAATGTGTCCATAATTTCGCCGACAATTATACTTAGAGAAACCATTTGCTGAAACATTAAAGCACCGTCTTGATATTCTTCATTTGTCAATGACATATCATAAAGCCCCAGATTCCCAGTGTTCAAACCAGTGGAGGATCCATCACGTTGTTGTTGTCCAACAGAATCTAAACTTCCAAATCCCTGTATTATTGGTGATGTTGATGGGAATTCACTTCTTTTTAAAATGTTAACCATCCAGTTACGACCTAAAATTAAATGAGAATGGCGACCTTCTATCAAAGCACACCACTTGTCTGTGGACCAAACAGCCCACGCTAGTCTCTTACGTAAATCTTTTTCCCATTTAGGCAATTTCCAATCTTGACAGCTAACACCAAGACCTAATTCTTCCGACAAAGCAACAACATTGGAACACAATACCCAATTATTTCTAGATTCACTTCTGCATTGAAGTAATAATAGACCAGTTTGAATCATACTCAGCTTGGGTCTCTCGATTCTTTCAAAAAAAGTTTTGAATGCAATATCGTTCAATACTTCAACTACATCAGGCTTGGCAAATCCAATCAGTTTGGGATGGAAATCCCACCATTGAAGAGCCAAGGAATAAATACATGCCAACAAAGGTGTAGTTAATTCCCTATATGATCTCAAGTATTTTTCTAGGAAAACTCGTTCATGTAAAATAGGAAAGTATGGGTGGACACGTTTGAAAAAAATTTCAACCAAAAGTTTACCATGTGGATGAACCAATTCCTCCACCATATCTATCTGTTGTTCTTGTTCAATATACAACTTCTGGTTGTAATCATCACTTAGTAAGAATTGAACTTTGGGTGCGACTTTCCTCAGGGATAATGTTTTCGATATCTGTATCTGATCGATATTGTCCAACTTAATATGGTCTACAATACCAATATCATATATGGATGTAGGCCCGACGTAAAATGATGATCGAGGGTACTGAATTTGAGGATGTTGCTGTTGCTGTTGCTGCTTCTTCAATACAGTCTGAGACATGGAGTGATGTGGTACAGCTACTTTTGTCTGTTGGTCCATCATTGGTTGAGATTGTGGCCTTTGCACATCTCTCGCATTCATGACTCCACTATGTACTAAATTATCATACTGAGTTGGAGTACTTCCCTGTTGACCCATAGATGTATTTAAAGATTGTAAGAAACTTGAATAGTATTCGTTTTGAATATCACCATTAGATAGCTTATTCGTTTCGTTAGTTCTTGATTTCTTTCTTGGTAAATTTTCAACAAGCATATCTGATTGTTCTTCAGTCCGTTTCGTGTTATTAACCGACCTTTCAAAGGTACATTTACGTTTCTTGGTTTCACATTCAATACAATTACCAAGGTCAGGTACAAATACACATTGTTTATTTTGTTGTGCACAGAAATCACAAATTTTGCTTGAACCAAACTTATTGTGGTTGTTATTAGCATGTGGCTTGTGCATCACGTTTTGGTATTGCTGCAATAAGATATCGAGGTGTTCACCGTTCTTCGATATGGCACCTAACTCCAAATGCTGCTGATCTCCAGCAACAGTATCATGAACATCCGTTACTTTCGATGGTGTAACCGACGACTTGGTTTGAGATTGAGATTGCGGTTCCGAATGATTTAAATGATTCAACAAGTTCGAGTAATTCTCTTCAGAAAATTTCATCAAATCTACATTATCCTGGTCAGTATTAGCCTTCTTATCAGCACCAGCATCCATACTACCTTCCTTCTTTGAGGCAGCCGTTCCGGAATCCTTATCGTGATTAGAAGAATCCTTATCAGCTTCATTATTTTCCGGCAAATTGTGGGGCGTGTATTCTTCACCATCTGCAACGTTACCTCCAGAGGCAGTAGCAACAGTCCCTATCGCACTTGTGCTCCTGGGAGTATCATGATCACCTATTTGGTCCATATTACCTGTGACATTACCTATTGGACTGCTATGGCTCGTCATTGGTGTCCTATCTCTAGATTCGAGAGCCAAACAAAAAAAATTATGCTTTAGATCAAATTATATCCTAACCCCCGAACGTAGCTATATAAAACAAAAAGGTGGGACTAAGCTAATAGTGTATATATTGATCAACTCCAAACTGTCCCGAATAACCAGCGGTTAGCAGCTACAGAAGAGGTATATATCTTGCAGTCTTGTTCTTTAATCATTTGTTGACTGTTTTCACAATAGTTGATGATTATCTAAATCTTTCCACGCAGCGTCTCTTTGCAATTTTGAAAAGTCAAAGGAATCGATTCTGTTGTGCTATAAGAGAAGAAGAACAGAGAAGTTCCACTTTATGGACACTGGTTGAAGAGAGTAACCCTGGGGTCATAACGTGATATCAGCAAGTGTACCGGCAGTTATGTGGAAGGCGATCAAGGACGACAAAGGAAGAACGTACTATTACGACACGGTCAATAAGAAATCGCAATGGGAGAAACCTGCAGAATTGGCGAAACCAGTCACTACGAGTCCAACAGATCAAGAACCGGTTCTGCCTAAGGATTGGAGATCTGCCAAGACCAAAGAGGGAAAAGTTTACTATTATAATGTACAGACTAAAAAATCACAATGGGATATACCTAAGGAAACTGAACCGAAGGTGCAACCGACAGTGACTCCGAAACAACATGCTGCTACTACTGGCGTGAAGAAGGAAGTCTTTATTGAAGGTGACTCCCAATTTGGCAACAAATCTGCACTTCTGACAGTTAGGACAGCCAGCAAAGAAGATGCAGAACCACAGTTTATAGCAATGCTTCAGCAGAATAATGTGGATGCTACATGGTCGTTTAGTCGGATTATGAACGAATTGGGGACGAAGGATCCCAGGTACTGGCTTGTGGATAACGATCCACTATGGAAACAGCAGATGTTCAATAAATACCTGGATAATAGAACGGAGGAGCAATTGTTGAAAGAACATTCCGAGATCAATAAGTTTCAAGAAGCCTTCAAAGAAATGTTGAAGGGGAAATCCTTGGAGGTCAATTACTCGACCAGTTGGAACGATGCAAAGAGGCTCATATCTGACGAACCTATATATAGTCATTCTGTGGTCAGTGAGTTGGAGAAGAAGAGGTGTTACGATGAGTACATCCTAGAGTTACGTAAAGAAAATGAACAGGAACACCATAAACTCAAAGAACAAGCATTGATTGAATTGCGAGACTATTTGAAAAGTGTAATACATGTTGAACAGGATGATATGCCTATGTCGTGGCAAAATCTATGCAATCAATACCTTTTTGACAAAAATAAAAGATACATGGCGAACCAACATTTTTCAATACTGACACACGAGGATGTCCTCAAGGAATACATTAACTTGGTACAACAAATAGATGCTCGCATAATACAGGATTTACAACAAGGGGAGAAAGAAAATTATTCTAGAGACAGATACGCTCGTGACAATTTTAAAAAGCTCTTGAAAGAAGGTATACCGAATCTTGTGGTTCGTGCTACAACGAAATGGTCCGACATATACCCGTTGATCAAAGGAGAGAGTGCATTTTTGAACATTGTGGGACGTAGAGGGTCTAATCCAATAGATCTCTTTCTAGATTTAGTAGAAGAAAAATATGTCATAGTATGTGGACTACGGTCGATCGGCCAACAGGTACTCATCGATGCATCATTTGAATGGCTGGCTCAAAACGATAAAAACACAAGTGCAATCACAAACATATTACGCCAGAATGTACAGTTTGATAGTGTTGACGATACGGATTTGGAGATCGTGGTGAAGGAGATCATAAAGGCCAGGGAAGATATGCTAGAGGAACAGAGGGCAGAAGAATTGTATCTGGAGAGACAAGTGAAACATAGGTTTAAGGAAATGCTAACGAAACATTATACGCGGGCACATACCACTCCTGCCACTAAATGGGAAGAATCACAGCATCTCTTCAAGGACACTCCGGAATATTTGCAATTGAAAGATGACCAAGTTGGAGAGGCCATCTATAACGAAGTATGCCAGACGCTCCGTGACCAGAAAGAGAACCCTCACACTGCAGACCCTCACACCAGAGGTACAAAAAGACCACTCCAGCCAACCATTGCATTAGACTATTAGCATATATATGTACATATATCGAATAGTAATCGTTTACATAAGTGCCCAGTCCAACATCGCTTCGAACGAGCAGCACGGTTACCACCTGTTCCCAAAGGCGGAGAAACAAATTGCTGAGAAGGTAAAAATGTGTAATCGAATATCGAAGAGGAAAGCCTCATCAGGAGGCAGTGATAAAGAGTCAGAAAGAGTACATCCTGGCAGCAACATATATAAGCTAAACATAGCGAACAAGAACGTATTGACACTCTAACTAAGGCAGACCAAGTAAATTATGGAGAGTAAGAACACCAGTGAGGGATCTACAGATATGAGTGCATCTGGCCAAACAAGTATACTGAACCGCCAACGTATAATATCGGACCCAGACATCAAATCGTTACGAGATAGAAAGCCTCCAGAGAAGAAACTAGCAATAGTGGAACCACTAAAGGGTGAACAAGTTTTAAGCTCACCTGTTACGTTACCAGATGGGGAAAGCTGTGCTAGAGACCCCACTAGCGGCAAATGTATATCATTTGCCACACCTAAACCTGAAAATACACCACATCATAGATTATCGATAAGTTGCATACCGAACAAGACACGCCCTAAAGTAACCGATCCAACAATGGCTAAGGAAGGTGCATCAAAGGACCAACAGCAACAGAATGAGGGCGACGATGGCGTAGAAGAGAAGAACTGCACTGTTGATATGCCTGGTAACTTTGTATATTTACCAAGTAGTTCGGATGATAAACAGGATGCAGACGAAGGGAAAGAGATTAAAAAGACTATAACGAATGAGACCCCTATTATATTACCTGAAGATAATGGGCCAGAATGTAAGAAAATAGTATTTAAAAAACAAGCAAATGCAGTGGAACCTGAGGTTCCATTTACTGCTTTTTTCGCAAAGGAGGATGACAAGAAATTCCATATATTAATTGGTGCTACAGGTTCTGTAGCTACTATCAAAATTCCATTAATTATAGATAAATTATTCAAGATATACAGTCCCGAAAAAGTGTGCATCCAATTAATAGTGACAAAACCTGCAGAACACTTCCTTAATGGACTCAAAATATCTTCCAAGGTCAAAATATGGAGGGAAGAAGATGCCATTGCCGATACTAATAATGATATGATGTTATTCCATGAATTACGTCGTTGGGCTGATATTCTGTTGATTGCCCCTTTATCTGCTAATAGTTTAGCTAAACTAGCTAATGGTATTTGTAACAATTTGCTAACGAGTGTCTTTAGAGATTGGCCTGTCTCGGGGGCCCCCGTCCTTGTGGCCCCTGCAATGAATACATTCATGTATGTGAATCCAATGACTAAGAGACATTACATGGCCTTGGAGGAAAACTTCCCCTTTGTAGAAATATTGAAACCTGTAGAGAAAGTGTTGATCTGTGGTGATATTGGAATGGGTGGTATGAGAGAATGGTCTGATATTGTGGAGATTGTTAGACAACGGATCAAAGAGATCATCATAAGGCGAAAATCAGAAGCAGAAAACGCAGAAGAAATAGACACCATCGATGTGGACACCGAAGATGATGTGGAAGACGACGACGACGACGACGACGACGACGACGACGATGACGATGATGATGATAATGACAATAATGATATTGATGATAGCGAAACTGATGATGGCGACGACGACGATGACGACGACGATGACGACGGCGACGACGGCGACGAATCGAGCATCTTAGATTCGGACACAAACTCAGACCGGATGACTGCAGAGACTGCGCACTCCAAAATTAGCTATCACAAGCAGTAGACCCCCCATCTTAGATTCATTATTATATAGATAGATACATAAAGTTTTCTATAAGGTTCAGTTGTAACACTCTCAATAAAGCATCACTGTGCACGAGCAGGCCCACGCCCACCGAACAAAAAAACGAAAGCTGAAAAAGAAGACGAAATCGATTCGACCCTCTTAAAACAACCCTGATTACTACTCTTTCTCTTATCGAACATAAGGTGACCCATCCATAGAGCTACAAAAGTGTATACACCTACTAACACTCACATATATATATACCCGATTACAATGTCTTTCCTGGGATTCGGTAATGGTCAACCACAACTAACCTCTGAACAAAAGATCAGTGCTGCCGAGACTGAACTTGACTTGGTCACCGATATGTTCAACAAGCTTGTTGATAACTGTTACAAGAAATGCATCAACACTCAGTATTCTGAAGGTGAGTTGAACAAGAACGAGTCTGCCTGTTTGGACAGATGCGTTGCTAAATACTTTGAGACAAATGTCAAAGTAGGTGAGAACATGCAACAACTGGGCCAAACTTTCACTAATGCTGGTAAATTTTAAATTAATCTTAATTTAGACGACCTTCTTTTTTTAAAACTTACAAAAATTATCTATACTTCTTTCAGCCATAGTTCATGTACATATATCTTCACATATAATAATCATAATAAACATATATTATTTCTCATTTATTGTTGAAATGAGGTTCATTGGAAACTTCCCTTTACGGTTTCTGCGGTGATTATTCTCGCTTAATCATGTATAATATTACATCAAATGGCAAAAAGAGAGATGCCGTAGGAGAAGAAGCAACTTGATCGACTGAATTAGAACATAATCGAACCACTAAATCTGAAGTTTTATGTTTCAGATACGTTTCAGTAGATGATGATTAGAAATTTCATTGATATATTTCGGTTTTTTAAACTGATTTGAGAACAACAAGAATATTTTCTCTCTCTATTGAAGTTCATCAACTCATTCTTTTCAAGATGTCAGTGACTCTATCTTTTATAAGTGATTGGATCTACGTTTGACAAAAAGTTTATAACAAATACTTGACTCAATAGCTTTAAAGTCTCCAGAAAACTATCCTTTTAGCATCCTAATAACCAAGGTATAATATCGATAATATCAATAATACTTCTCTATTATGGGTTGCACAGCAAGTACACAAATCAGTGAGGATGAGAACGATCCATTCTTACAAAGTCAACGAGCTAATGATGCTATTGAACAATCCTTACAAAGAGAAAAACAAAAGGATAAAAATGAAATTAAATTATTATTGTTAGGTGCAGGTGAATCCGGCAAATCCACTGTCTTAAAACAATTAAAATTGCTACATCAAGGTGGGTTCAATCATCAAGAACGTCTTCAATATGCACAAGTAATTTGGGCAGATGCTATTCAATCAATGAAAATTTTGATTATTCAAGCTAGAAAACTTGGAATACCATTAGATTGTGACGATCCTAATAAGAATCCTGAATTGTTTGAATTTAAAAGATTACTTTTAAGTGCAAAGGCTCTTGATTTTATAAATGCCAGTATTGCTGGTGGATCAGGCTTTTTAAACGATTATGTATTGAAATATTCCGAAAGGTATGAGACAAAGAGAAGGATTCAAAGTACAGGTGAAGCCAAAGGGTTTGACACTAATTTGGATAATAATAACCTAGATATGAATGGTTTAACTGAAATAAATTCAAATAAGCCCATTTTAAATATGTCGATTAATGAAATATCGAAAAATCTAAATGATACAGGTGACGATCACATGTTTGTCGAAAAGAAAACCGCTACAGCTACGGAGAAGAAGTTGTCAAGAGAAGATATCGCTACTGCGATTCAAGAATTATGGAAAAATGATTCTGGTATCAAACAATGTTTCACTAGGTCTAACGAATTTCAACTCGAGGGCTCAGCTGCTTATTATTTCGATAATGTTCATAAATTTGCTGATCCAAATTATATTTGCACAGATGAAGATATATTAAAGGGCCGTATAAAGACTACAGGTATAACAGAAAACGAATTTAATATAGGTTCTTCTAAATTCAAAGTATTGGATGCTGGTGGTCAAAGGTCTGAACGTAAGAAATGGATTCATAGTTTTCAAGGGATCACCGCCGTACTGTTTGTCCTTGCAATGAGTGAATATGATCAAATGCTATTTGAAGATGAAAGAGTCAATAGAATGAATGAATCGATAATGTTATTTGATGCGTTATTGAATTCAAAATGGTTCCGTGATACACCTTTTATTTTATTTTTGAATAAGATGGATTTATTCGATGAAAAAGTAAAAAGAATGCCAATAAGGAAATACTTCCCAGATTACCAAGGTCGTGTTGGTGACTCTGAGGCAGGAGTAAAATATTTTGAAAAAATATTTTTGAGTTTGAATAAATCTAATAAACCGATATATATCAGAAGAACATGTGCAACAGATACTCAATCTATGAAATTCGTATTGAGCGCAGTTACTGATATGATCGTTCAACAAAATTTGAAGAAAAGTGGTATAATATGATATGTAAAAAATAACTTTTGATTATTATGTATTGTTGTAGGAAAAATAACAACAAATAAAGAATATTTATATATATATAAGGTGGGAATGTGAATGTTCATGTTCATGTCTTTGAAGTGGGACCCTTATTTGATGCTGATATCGTAGATGTACTGTTAATACTACTATTTCTTAATTTTGAGAATGGAATGCTTAGCAAAGAAGATTTTTTCCTGATCGATGGACTCAAATGATCAGTCGGTGACGTCGGATCATTCGTATCTTTATGTGTATTAATAGATAGGAAACTCAAACCATGTTTATGAGCCTCTTCACCTAAATTGTTTAATATATTTTTATTATTCTGGATAGTATTGTTATTAATAACATGGGATTGTGTGGAGACAATAGAATTCGAATGATTTCTTATCGTGGATGCAGCGTTTGATGCTTGTTGTTCTAATACGTTATTCAATTCTTGAATTCTTGAAGATGCAGTAGACCCCGAATGTATCGATGAAGCAGGTTCTAAGTCACTAGACACCAAAGAAGAATTGGATAAAGATTTCCGTGGTAATGCTGTTAATGGGGTAAAACTTTGTTTCGATAATGCTGTAGTAGATTGTTTCCTGCTTGTGGCAATTGTGGGCAAAGGTGGTAAGGTAGAATTCAAGGATATTGATGTGTAAGGTGAATTCATGGTTAAGACAGGGGAAGGTCCAGCATCGAATGTTGATTTGGTCTCTAGCACGGGTGTCTTTAATGCATGAATCAATGGTTTTTTCATTGTTGTTTCCGTGACTTTAATATCCTTTCTTATTTTATTGTATAATTTGGCGAAATCAAAAGTTATGGCTACTTCACTAGGTTTCCAATTATATCTATCCTTTATGTCATCATTGATAAGATTCCCATCTTTCAACAGGATCCTTAGACATTGCAAACTACCGTACTCCATGCAAATATGTAATGCTGTATCACCATTACTGTCAGCCACAGTAAGATCGGCACCTGCACTCATCAATAATGCCAAGCATTGATAGTAATCCTTCAGACATACAACATGTAATGGAGTTCTACCTTTACCTCCGCGTTGGTTGATAAAATTAGGGAAATGCTGTAATAGTAAATGAGCTGTCTGTTCATGACCATTCATTAAGGATAGGTGAACACATGTATTTCCTTTGAAAGTCTTGGCATATTCACGTTTGCCATGGTCTAATTGCAAAAGGTAGACACATATTAGGTACCTCCCATGGTATGACGCATAATGTAGTGAACTCCAACCATTTTCTGGATCGACATTTGTCAACAATTCGGGAAACCTTCGAAGGATCCTCTTTACGGTAAGCAAATTCCCAGAGATTATGGCGTTCCGCAACCGATGAGACAGATCGCAGAGCATATTGTGTTTGCTTATCTGTTTGAATCCAATCAACTGTTATTAGTCGAATAGTTTGCGTGATTCTTCAAAAGTACAAATGGGGTTAATAACCTCCTATTCCAGTGCTTGAAGTCTCATCTTGATCTGATCTAAGTTGATGCCCTTTTGATCCTTTCAGGGTCTCTTCACAATTTGATGAGATTTCTGCGGGCGATAAAAATCACATAGTGCGTGAGGGTAACAGGACAGATCTTTTGGCAATAAAGAACCAGACACTGGTCATAATATGCTTGGAATGACGGTCGGGATGGTCGTTCCCACTTCAAATCTGATCTACTACTGAATTTGGGTTTTGCTGGTGGTCGTGGAGGTCGTCAATATGTATCAAAACATTTACTAATATATCTATTAGTAAATTTAAATTTAATTGGATAGGAATCTTTCATATCCAAATTAAAACATGACTAGTCGCATTTGAAAACTCATAAATATATATAATATGTATGTATGTACCTTGTGTATTCCCTAGTTTAGGAACGCAGAAGGGGAATACCATCTGCACAAGTTACTTAATTATATATCTGAAAAGACTTTCCTCGAATTTGACTCTGCCAGGTCCTAACATCGCGTTTCAAGATATCTACCCCATACACTCATGTTAGAAGCATCCAGTTATATGGAATGCCTTGATATTCTTCCTCTTAGCCACTGGAAGACTGTCACTTTATGCAAAGCAAAGAGGCTGACATTGCTATCCGAGGCCCCTCGGCATTTAATTTTTCACTTTGCAGGCTGAAAGAAAAGGGCCCACATTTTCCACTGGCACACAGATAGAGATTAAATAAAGCCATCCAATGGTGTTAAAAGTTAAAGAACGTTAAAGAAGAACCCCAGAATAGCCGCTAAATATATTATACCCTATCCTCCTACAATCTGTAACATGTCGACGGTAAATATTGTGCACAATTTTAAGAATTTTAAAGTGAAAGTTTCTCCAAATGATCATTTGAACGATGCCCTTGAGAAAAGTGTAACACATTTTAAATTGATTAAAAGAGAAGAGACAAGATTTGTACTGTTTCATAATAAGACACCCGTGGCATTGGACTTACCTTGGAGGTTCTTAAACTTACCCGCTGGTGCAAACTTGGAACTGTTAGAACTGGGTGAGGTAGTAAATACTGACAAATCACTAGATCTGGCAAATATTAAGATACGATTTATTGTAAATCAACATTATGGTTCAATTATGCAACAAGTTAATATATCAGATAATATTACAGACATACTTCAAGGGGTGGCTACTTTACAGAAATGGGATGATCAATATTTAAAATCATCAAGAATAACTTTACAAATATTTTCTAAAATGTATACTATAGAAGAACTAGCCAACCATAGTTTCCAGTCCATTGGAATTACAAATTCTTTATCGATTCGTGTCACTTTACCTGGTAATGGAACTGAAAATGTTGAAGCAAATCCCGAGCCAGTCATTGCCCAAACTACTGTCACACCAGTAGAACCCGCGGAATATCTAAAACCTGAGATACCATCATTACCGCAACATCAACCTATTGCATATGTACCAAGTACGACCCCGATTGCAGATCAAGTGTCTCAGGCAGAAGCTGAGGATGATTTTGAAATGACTATTGAACAAGCTAGAAGGTACCAGCAAATCCTTAAGAAGAAGACAGGTAATTTAGGTGGTCCATTGATGACGAAACGGATGAGGGAAGAAATGGAACAAAAAAATAAATCACATATTGTAGTTTCGGAATGTCTTGTAAGAATTAAATTTCCCGATTTGACTTACTTGGAGATACGTTTCTTACCAACTGATAGTACGCATGTAATATATGAACAGGTGGCACAGTCATTAATAGATGAGCAACAACAGTTTAAACTATATTATCCACACCCTCAGAAACATGTGGAAAATTCTCTAGAAAAAGAACTAGTGAAAGATATGCAATTTGGTTTGAAGACTATTCTATTGTATGAATCAGAACCCACAAATAAGGGACCATTTTTAAAATCAGAACTATTGAAGGGTGCTACTGTGTTATCCATGGATATATCAGATAAAGAAACTGGAAGATCATCCCAAGATCAGAAGAAACCATCGGGAAAGGTTCCTACAGTTAAAAAGACATTAAATAAAGTACCTAAGTGGTTAAAGCTTTCTAAAAAATGAGTAATCTTTTCTTTGAATATATACAAATATATAGTCTTATGCATTATTATTATTTACAAGGGCAATTATGTTAGCCATATGTTCATTATTAATCTCTAGAGTTTTAAAATGTTCTAATACCATCCCAAAATGAACATCATAAGGATTCTGATACTTGATTAAGGTCAATAGTTGTACTAATAAGGTATCTAAAACATTTTCCCCCTTAATATCATTAAAATTGTCAGATGATTTAAAGGAATTTACTCCAATGAATATCTTATCATCACATTTCTTTTCAAACATTTTTATAGCTCGTCTATGTGCTACAGTAAGAGCCATATCATGATCACTTGATTTTAATCTTTTTGTTTCAAGTTTGACATAGTTATCTCTGATCCCTATTACAATATATTTAAACAGGTTAATATCAATATCCACAGAGTGAACATTTACCATCATCGATAAAATGGCAGGAATTGTAGACCAGTTATTCGATTTTAAAAACACGGCAATAATCGTCTGATACAAGCTCGCAGTCGGTAACAGATTATCTCTTGTGGCCATAGTCTTCAACAACCATTCAACGTCAAATTCTGGCATGGTATCAATTTCATTATTGATGTTCTTCAGATATGAGTTTTTCAAAATCCGTTTTACAGAAATTTTACCGTTTGGGATATTGGAAACACTTTCATTACTATAATAGTTGTAATAAACTTTCCAAATTTCGGTATACAATGTTTCATTGATATCACGTCTTTGAAATAAAGTTGCCTTAAAATTGTTTTGAACAGTTTCAGGTACAGATTCAACGGGGATTTCAAAAATTGCATTAATAATTCTATAACATGCTTTCAAATTCTTACGGCCTCTGTAATATCTCAAGAGACTTGCAATTAATTTGGAATTGTATGGAATTTTCAAGTTATTCATTCTCGTCAATATATCATCAACCAATTTATCTATCTCAGTCAAGGGGAACCTTTTCTGTTTAGCAGTAGCAAGATTTCTATAATGATCAACATATATGGCATATATATGTGCGCTGACTTTAGGGGTAGAATTGTCCTTATTATTGTCCAAGAATGATTGTTCGAGATTTGACAAGATCTCTTCTGCTTTATCGTATTTACCTGAATGAAGCAAAGTCTGTATCAATGTATGGTATTGTCTAGAGTCTCTTATTGGTATCTGAGTCTGTGCATCATTATCTATCAAGGATGACTGAGGGTCAATATTCAATTTTTCATTAATAATATTTCTTATGGCAGCAGACAATTTTCTGTTGGATAATAAATCCTCGATATTGTGAAATAAAAGGCTTTGGATGACTGTATCATTAGTATCATAATTAGCAATAATATTTTGGAATTCTTTTTCTAAGGTCTGAATATTATTTTTAGTCAAGTTCGATGAGCTTCCTGTTATTATTAATTTTTTAAACGAGTCAAAATCCTTTAAAAGGTTCAAGTTTGTCCTTAGGATCAAATCGTGATAATTTATATCCTTGTCCGGTAACTCTAAATATTTTTGAAATAGTAAAGATACCATTGGCATGTTTTTCTTATATGTATAATAATTAATGATAGTAATGAAATCGTGTTGAGTTGGAATTTCAATTTGATTCAAATACTCATTAGCATCATTTTCATCCTGAAACATTCTAAACTTTGAATCTCGATCATTTGGATCATTTGTACTCAATCCTTTTAATTCCACAATTTGTAAAAATCTGTTAGTCATTTCATTAGCGGATTTCACATTATCTATTTTCAAGAATTTCTTAATACTAAATTTAATCACTTTCATACTCAAATATGGGGAACTTTCCGGAAACATAGTGTCTGTCTCATTCAACAGATGCTTAAACCCACGAAGATTGTTAGTTGCTAGTAAGATATTAAGGCCAATGGTATACCACCATTTTTCTTTCAGGGTATCCTTTCTGGTTTTAAACAATTTGTAAGCGTCATTATAATGGCCAAATGCCACTAGTGAATTTATATAGAAGGATTCGTTGACAGGATCCATTCTGACGTTCCCTACGGAGTAGATCAGTTTCCCGGAACACATGATCCCTTGTTGTCTCTTCTGCTGGATAGGGATTATCTTTGAGAATTCAAAGACTTCCACTAGTTGATCCATCGAGACCCCATCCTCTGATGGTTTAAAAGTTGGATCCATTAGTAAATTGTTTAATATCCGCAATACGAAATTCGTGTGAATCAAATAATTCTGAGTTTTATCTTCTGTTGCTAGATCGTTCGATATAAATTCCTCCATGGCCTCTGTCGAATTCATCGATTCATCCAGGAGTTCATTAGATCGAGTCTCTATCAAATTGTTAATTTGTTCAGGGGTATAATTTTTCAGACGTCGAATCTCCAACTCAGCTTCTCTCAGAAAATAATTAAACAGCAGAGGCAACTTTCTACTAGCGGGTTCATTCTTAAAGCTATTGTTTAAGACGTTATAATTCCTATTGCTAGATTTAAACCCAGTACCATAATGTTTCAAATATTTCAAAAATAACGAATCACTAAAGTTAGCTTTCCCCGCGGACTCGTCATTATCCATATGTTCAAACCCCAGCTTCTTCAGGTTACTCTCGACCTCCTTCTTATCCTTACCAGCCAAAAGAATCTCCGATTCGTTGTTTGCAAGTTGTGGAATATGCGACTTCATATGGCTGGCAGTCATCGCAGCCGGTCGTCTGTACCACCTTGCTGACACGAAAGACCTACTCGCACACCTTCTAAACATGTTTGTACAGTTAGCTCCACTTCTCAACTATCACACCCACCTCTAGATCCCACTATAGTGCCTCCCCTTTCTCTTGTAGCTGAGCCATGCCCTTGCAACTTCGAACCTTGTTGTGTCATCTCCCCAAACCCTAATCGAAATTTGGAATTTGGAATTTCGCTGCTCAGCGCTGCGCGTCGCTCTAAAAATTTTTATGGAGAATTTTCTCGCTGTGGCCGTGAAGTATATAAATAGAGCATCAACTGCCTTTATGAAGAAAGAAAAATGTCACTTCTTAGTCCCTGTTTTATTTATGGAGAGAGAAGAGACAAAGCAAGCGAGCTAGATGCAACTAGTTCCGTGTGGGGGTGAGGAGTGCCAATGTATATTGCGTTGCAACACGAGAAAGTCTTCTCTGTGCGGTGCAGGACATGCATGCATTTTTTGCCTTTTGCAATGGGAGAAGTATTTTCAATGATGAGAACCTTTTACTTTCAGTTATCCCTGTCTGAACAGGTTTATATACATGGTTAACCTAATGTGACGAGATTTTTTACTCTGAAGTCAATACTTACTCTCTGTTTATATTCTTTATGGCTGGGGAAACCCGATCTATTCGTAAATCACATAATTTTTCAGTTTGTAGCTTATGTAACTCGTTCAATGCTCAGAAGGCGTCGGAGAACAGCCCGGAGATCTCTTACGAAAATGTTGTGACCAACCAAATTTGGGAAGAACAGGGGGGTCAAAACTCGTTGAACGAATCAGAACTTTGAGATTTCGTTTGACACTTTTTTGATTCTATAAATATATCTTACATAAGACGGTTTTGAGGTTTTTGGGAGCAGTCTCTGTTATTTGAAAATGGATACCTTGCTAAGGTTTTGAAGTATTCCACGAAGTACAACGAAAGCAGCAAGTTTTTTTGTGATGGATAGAGCTAAATTGTTTCTTAGACTGAATCAGGAATCTAATGAGACTACAGCGATAGAGGACGACACTCTGACGTTTAAATCTGTTCAAGATGAAGATTTCCAGGTGTTTCGATTCGATAAGGTGTTTCAGGAGACCCAGTTGGCCGACCAAACACAGAAATTATTGATTGAACCGATTACAAAGAATGCTATTGATGGCATCAGCTCCACTGTAGTGTTGTGTGGGGATAATGACTTGACATTAGCTAACGATACCATTTTCCAACAGTTGATACCGCAATTGGGAAGTTTCCTGGAGGACCGTACTATAGATGAATTGATAGATATAACTCTTTTGGATGGAACCACAAGTTTACCCGTTGAAAGATGGAACGATATAGGGGTATTCCAACCTGGTTCTGAGAATGGTAAAGTGCTGACGATACACATTCGTAATATAGATACAAATGAGGATAAGATAGTCTCTAGTTTTATAAATATTTTGCTGTTAAAGAATCCGGAAACGCTAACCAAATACAAACACTCCAAGGATAATTCTTCATTGGGTAAAAAAGTACGTCAGATACTGTCTGAAACAGCGGGAGATTTGTATATTTTCCTACATTCTATTATCACGCCAGTGAACCAATCAGAGATATTGGATTTGTTTCAAAGGATAGGGTTATTTAAAGAAAATTGGATCAATTCACATTTACGTGATGTTAATGTGTTGAATCAAACTAAGAAAGAACATAATGTAATCAAGGATTATACGGTAATGGATAAGGCATACATGAAACAAATGAGCTTATTGGAGGATGAGATACAAAGTTATAGACAAATTGATGAACAAACGCAATTATCAATGGAGGATACAGATAAATTGACGATGAAATTACAAATGTCGGAGGAATCGAATGCAAAATTACATCATCAGATTGAAAGTATGAGACAACTCTTACAGGATTCAAATGAAAATTCAGATATATTGAATGCATATTTGGATAAATCGATAACTTATAACAAACTCATGGATGATTTATCAATCGTTACAGAACAAAATAAAATTTTTAACAGGATAGAAATTATAGAACAACAATATTCAAACATGTTACGAGAAAACAATAACTCTTTGAACCATTTACTACAATCTCAATCGGAACAAGAATTTGTGTTACAACAAGAGAGTGTAGATTTAAAGATGAAATTACAAGACATTGTTCAATCGAATATATCACTTGAATCGAAATTACAACCACAATCGCTTTTCAATACAGCAACGTTAATGTCACCATCATCAATAATGTCATCAACTCATAGTTATAAGACAAGCATATCATCATCGACTTCCTCATTGGGAAGTAACATTACAAGTGACACCGAAACCACTACTACACATTCAAAGACATCGCATTTACCATTATCATTAAACTCAGGGTTTCAATTAAAAATATTGAGACCGAAATAGAAACAATTTATATACACTTTACTAGCAGGTTAGTTATCGTTATTATTCTCTATCGTTATTATTTACTTAGTTTTGCTAATAATATTATTATGAATAATTTTCCTTTGTTATAGAGAGTGTTGACCTATGAACTTCCCGAAATATATCATGAAGACTATTTTAAGGGACATAATTATCCACTGTGGTACTAGTGAAGTGGGTAGTAGCCGGGCCACTTTGGATAGTATAAAGATTACTAAAACAAACCAACCATGCTTAATAAGGTTTATTATTATAGAAAGTACATTAGTAATATTCGAAAGATAATTTGTTAGGTAATTCAGTTTTCCTTCCATTTTATCAATAGAATTGATTGTAATGTTCAGTCTTTGATCTATTTCATCAATATTATCCATAAATTGAATATTCAATAAAATCAAATCGTCCTCGATTGTTTCAGTAAATTTTACCCACTCATTGATTGTTGTTTCTTCGAATTTTCTCAGGGTTGTAGCCAATTCGTCATTAAGTGTGTTATCTATAATCGTTTGGCGTTGTTGTATCGATTTTAATGTATCCACTTGAGTATTTGTAAAACCCATAACAACATCATTTAACAAAGAACTTAATTGAAAACGAAACATTTCAAATGAATTCTCAAAGAATTGGTTTTGGTCAAGTACCAAATCAATTGCGTTGTCTTTCAACTCATTGAGTTGAGAAATATCTTTGCTAATATTAGTTTTATGTATTTGGGTAACAACTCCTTTAATTAAATGGTTTACCTCTTCTAGTGATGTATTCACAACATTATTGAAACTACTGACATCATCTCTTAGTACTTCGTGCATTTTATTGACATTTTTTATAACAATTTCATTTGACGTTAAAAGTTCTTCCTTAAATTGTCTGTCCTGATCCCTCAAATCGTTAAATAATACAATAAAAAAATTAGATATATCTTCAACATGTTTGTTAATTGTTAAATCACTCTTATATGTCATCTTTCCGAATTCATTAGACCAAAATATATTAATATCATTAACCATATCTGTTACATTAAGAAACATACCTAGCAACCTTTCTTGTTCAAAGGGTAAAGAGTATTGATAACAAATTTCGTTTAAATTTTGATAGTAACCGCTATATGTAGTCCACCACTGACCCCCAACTTCTAGTCCAGTCATACATTCTACAATTTCTTGTGGCTGACCATAAAAGCAACCTTTTGGGATCCAATCATGAAGTCCTGAATTTTCAAACTCACATACTGATAACTTGATGGCGGTCTCAACTTTGATTCTTTCTTCAATGGAATTAATTTCATTGGCTTGAATACATAAAGGGATAAACTTAGAAACTGCCTCTTTGCTACATGTTTTTGTTAAAAACGGAAAATTTCTTTGAAGGTATTCAGTTGTAATAACATCGATTCTTTGATGGTTGTCGATTTCCGAAGATGTTAAACTAGTCACTGGTGTTATCTTCAATGATAAAAGTGACAGGCATGTAAGGGAGAGCATATACATTAGTCATGGTTACTGATGTAATTATTTTATTTAATTCTTAATATTTCTATAAAAATAGAGCTTATTTATATGTTTTCTCTGTAGTTAGTATTGTTTCAGAAATGTTTCAGAAATATTCTCAAGAACCAATGCGATACTGATTATTTAATAAGACAAAAAATAATGACTAAAATATTGTTATGCATATAGTATATAACTATATGTTATAATGTTTGATGGTATGTACATGTATTTGGAATATATATGAGTTGGGCTGTTCAAGAATACAAGTGTCATATTAAATATCTATTAAAGTTTTTTTCAATTCTTCAGATAATTCGATTTTATCAACCACAGGTAATATATATTGGGACAAAAATAGATTACCTTTCTTGGCATACATAGGTATATCTTCATCTCTGTCTTGTTTAATGTTAATGATAATCTTTTCTGATAATTCTGGGGTATCAACTAATGAGAAATTTTTGGAATCGATCAGGTTTGCTATCATGTTGAAATTACCACATCTTGCGAAATGTTCAACAAATATAGATATGTATTGCTTCGATAACATTTTATGCTCAAGTAAGGAATTGTACACTTTGGTAATGTTAATACCTCTTGTTAGATCGTTGTCACCACTGATTTCGACCTGTTTCAGGATAGCAGTAAGCGAAACCTTATTTATGAGGTTGTGTGTCTCTTTCTTTTGTATTATTATCTGTAACAATCTTTGAATTTCGCTAAAATCGACACACAGAGGTAATGTAAAATGCAACATTTCCGAAGTCATTTGGGATTCGATAACGCTACTGAGGTCAGAAATATATCCCATCTTACTTATATTATCTCCATGGAAGCATTCCGTCAACATAGTAATGTATTCCGAAAGTAGTTGTTCCTCGGGTAACATATTATTGACTACTATCAACTTCTTAAGATATTCATGGGCTGTCATCACGTTTTTCATACGAGTGTGCAAATCTAGTAATTGAAAATGTGTACTACCTTTAAACATCTGATTTGTGAATTTCATTTTCATCCGTTGAATCAAATCACCTAATTTGGTAAGGGCCTCTTTGAATTCATGTTCAGGGAAAAGTTCTATCTGAGGTCTCATAATATATATCAATTGACTAACCAGTTTTTCAAGAACAGAAAATTGGTCTAGTTTCATAGTCTCTATATGTAACATTATGGCGTTGATTGACAAGACAATATTATTCAAATGGTTACAATGTTTCTGTATCACAAATGTGTAAATATCTTCGGGGTATACACCATCTGTCGTCATTACAACACCATCGATCAATGAAACAAGATTCAATGGGTCGAAAGGTTTTGGCATTTTGGTGTTTTTTGTCATTAAGGTTTCTATGGTTTCAATATTTGCAGACGTTTCTTTGGTGATATAACTGTCCCTGATCTGGTTTTTAATATCATTTCTACTGATCGTAATCATGGAAGAAATATCCTTAAACACATTATTGCAAACATGGAAACTATAGGTATGTACCCATTCCGGTAAATCCGGAGTACTTCTCATGATCAGTTGTTTAGGGATAAACTTTTGAGAATCCTTATCGAGTATGGCAAAATTCGCCTTCCCTCCAAGTAATGAAGCATTCGCGTATGCATAATTCAAAAGTAATTGTTCTAATGGGCCAATCTTATAAAAAGGATGAAGTATTTCACTGGGCCTCGATCGAATAATATTTTGGCCGTTCAGTTTAAGTTTAACCAGATTAGTCGGAATCTTCCAATCAGCATAAACACTTAGTTTGCCAACCTGAGTACCTCTAATCATCACCCACTGCTAGAAATTATACGCAAAACCTAACAGTACCTCTTTACGGAGTCTCGATAGAGGTGGTAGTTGTCTTCAAAAATCATCCTTAAAAATCGTCCATCTCTCACTTTCTATCAATATGATTTTTGTATGCCAAAAATTCCGCTTCCTGAGGAAAGAGACATCCCCACATCGTCCATAGTGATGTAGTTGGAACCTCAAACCATTCTCTTAGTGGTTGTCAGTCTTATAACTTGAAACTGGTTCATCAAGGGGATCAGTATCCCTTGGTAGCAGGTATTGATCCATCTGGGGTAGTGGGTACTGTTGCATCGGGTATCTTTGAGATGCATGTAAAGTCTCGTAGTTTCTCATTGACACTGTTCTTCTTAAGGACCATAACAATGAACAGACAAATGCCATCACGACTGTATCCATTAGCATTAACCAACCAGGCCAATCTAAATGGGTAGCAAACAATAGAATATCCACTAAGAAGGAAAACAGAGAGAATATAAACAAAGGCAACGAAACCAGTGCTGCGGCTAGCACAAACTGCGAGGAATTGCCATATGTAGTTCCTGCAATCAGTGCAATCATCGCTGCCAATACTATACTGTTGAACAACGCAATTATATGGACTACCAGCAGCCTAGAGATAGAGTACTTGGATTCAGAAGGTAGGAGAAGGATATCACCGTAGACATGTGTGTTTAAGTACCTGTAACCAATATGTCTCTTGGTACATAGGACTAGCTTAGCGGGCAGTTGTCTGGTATAACACCAACCCCAAACACCATAAGTGAAGTCCATGAAACTTGCGATTGTGATATGCGTCACTGGAGTGGAGATCACTGGAAAGACATGAGACACAGCAACTCCCAATGAGAGGATCAGTAACACCTGTTCAGTACTTAAAATAGATCGCATATCATATATACATAAGCAATTACGGGGGTCTTAAGGTATAGGTTATGTATGTGAGTGTCGAAGACGTTAGATATAATGGTTTAATGGTTCATTTAGAGGCTTTGTTTTCTAGTTGATGGTTAGCGATGCTCTATGGCTGAAATAGTTTCAATTTCAAAAGCTTCACTTTTGCTGTGCGCGATCACTTAAAGTGAACCCACTATACGTAAACAAGAACAACTACCAGATGATCCTACATATTGATATAGAGCCGAACTACATTATGTTAGCTGTTGACTGATCCACTCAGGCTATTGTTGATTTTATTTAACTGTGGTATATATGAGGGCCTCAACGATATTGTTCCGGTCCTCTAGGATAACAAACATTTGACACAGTAAGGCCAACTTTATAGAATATGTGTGACTACCATATAAAGGTTCTTGAATAGTAGATTCAGTGTAACAGTTCACTATACAGAGGACAAAAACCTGGATGATGTCTTGGGAATGAGAGTCTGATTTTGAAAGGTTAACAATCCTTCAATCAGAAGTGTATCAGGTTTCTTCAGAGAGTACATAGTAACCTAAACAGCGACCTAGTAGTTGGAAAATAATTCATTACCACTACTCGACACTCTCGATTCTTGATTCCATAGTCTTGTCACTCTTATTGTTCTTTCGTCTGCCTGTGTCGTCATCTTCACTGTGAGATGCTGAGTCATTTCCGCGTGGTTTATGGATCTCTGAAATTTTTCACTTATCGAAGTCATCGACCTGGCCAACTTTTATACAAAAGAGACAGACAGGTTATAGCGAAGCTAGTATAAAATCATTGCATCGCTATAAATTACGTCTATTTGTATATATATACAACCATCCAGATACATTTCAAGAAAATATCCTTACAATGAGATTTTCTCCTGCTATGTTACAACGTGCCGCAAAGGCTGTTGACAAGTACGCCCTATATGTTCCGACCAAAGGTGTCTTTCCAAAGGAGTTCAAAGTTGCTTCCACTGCTTCTGGTGTTAAGAAGAACGGTGTATTGGACCTGGGTGTCATTTTAAATACTAATAAGTCACGTCCTTCTTCTGCAGCTGCTGTGTTCACCACAAACAAGTTCAAAGCTGCTCCTGTGCTTCTATCTCGTGGCGTGCTAGAGGCCAGTCACGGTAAAGGTGTTGATGCAATTGTCGTTAACTCAGGCTGTGCAAATTCTGTCACTGGTGATGTAGGTCTGGCTGACGGTCAAGCCATGTTAGAAATGGTTAACCAGAATATTGGTAAGGATAATGCGACATTGGTGATGTCTACAGGTGTCATTGGTCAAAGATTGAAATTGGATAAGATCCAAGGTGGGATCAATGATATCTTTAAAAAGAATAAGTTTGGTACTGATTTTAGCTCTTGGTTAGGTCTAGCTAAGTCTATCAATACCACTGATACTTTCCCTAAATTAGTCTCCTCTAAGTTCACCTTACCAAATGGTAAAGAATATACTTTGACCGGTATTGCTAAAGGTGCAGGTATGATTTGTCCAAATATGGCTACTCTGCTAGGTTTTGTCTTGACCGATTTGCCAATTGAAAGTGCTACTTTACAAAAAATGTTAAGATTTGCTACTAGTCGTTCCTTCAACTGTATTTCTGTTGATGGTGATATGAGTACTAACGACACTATCTGTATGATTGCTAATGGTGCCATCGACACTCCAGTCATCAATGAATCATCTCCAGAATATCAACAGGTTCAACAACAAGTTACTGAATTTGCACAAAGATTGGCACAATTAGTCGTCCGTGACGGTGAAGGTTCTACTAAATTCGTTACTGTCAACGTTCAAAACGCATTGAAGTTCGATGATGCCAAAATTATTGCAGAATCTATTTCAAACTCCATGTTAGTGAAGACAGCCTTGTACGGTCAAGATGCTAACTGGGGGAGAATTCTATGTGCTATTGGTTACGCTAAGTTGAATGATCTAAAATCTTTAGATGTTAACAAGATCAATGTCAGCTTTGTCACCACTGATGATTCCCAGCCACGTGAATTGAAGCTTGTTGTTAATGGTGTTCCAAACTTGGATGTCGATGAGGCAAGAGCATCTGAGATCCTAGCTTTGAATGACTTGGAAGTCCTAGTTGATCTAGGTACTGGTAACGAAGAAGCTCAATTCTGGACTTGTGATTTATCTCATGAGTATGTTACTATCAACGGTGACTACCGTTCCTGATCACTTTTCGAATGTTTAAGGCATCTTAAGTAGTCGCAAATATGTTTATATATTTCTATATACAGAAAAATATTATTGATTTTTATTTTTATTAGGATATTGTGCATAATTATATTTAGATGTTACTAGGGTTGGTGTATTATATGCGTTTAATAGAACGTTTATATAATTATACAGTTACAACTGATTCAACTAAATGTGTATTTCACAAAGAGGAATCTATTATGCTATTAAAAAAGTTTGTTGTGGTTTATTCATTAACGTTTGTATCGTTAGGAATTTCGATTTGGTTAATCAAATAATCAACCAGATTTGAAGGATCAAGAATGGCATTCTTGAAATATTGACGTTTTGGTAATATTTTCAATAAATTAACGATAGGTTCAGGGATTTCGGTTTTCATATTTCCATGAAATCTTTTATTGGAGCCATTACCAAAATCTTCACGAGTTCTCTTCAAGTTTCTATCGGTTCCAAAAGTAAATGCAGCTTCTTCGGTTTCATTATATAGATAAGGTAACTCCAATTTTTTGATTTGGTTAACTTTTTGGATCATGTATCTATCTGAAAATGTCTCAATCAACATTTCATCTGGAAACTTCTCCTTGTATCTCTTTTCTAATGTATAAACTGTTGATATATTCCCATACTTGGTCTCATATTCTATCATCTTCTTGAAAATCAGACGCGTTTGTATCTTATCGTCTATCTTATCAATAGAACTCTCGAACAATGTCTTAATCTGTGAATCCTTATTAAATAATAGCAAGAAGTCGATATATTTGTTGATATATTGACCATCTGTTTGAAAATATTTTAATCCCAATTCTAATACTTTTAATGCAGTCTTGTAGCCATCGTTTTGGTTGTAATACTCCATGTATGCGTTTTCAATATATATTTGATGAGTGATACTGTCCTTCAATTTCCTACATTTACCGAAGATAGATCTAGCAGCAGAAAGACCTGATATTTTTTTAACTGTATTCATATATACACAATAGATGTAACCAAGTCTCTCCTTAAGGGATTGTGCGCTTTCTGAGTTGTCATCAGCGACACTTTTCTTGTATTGTCTCTGAATTGATTTGATCGTACCTTCAAAGCAACTCTTAATCATCTCTACTTCGTTTTCCATACCATATATTTCTGATAGTTTTATGCATAATGTTGGAGATGTCGGGTTAGCCTTTAGACCATGTGATAGAGTCTGTTGACGCCACGAAGAATCATTTTCATCAAATGAAATTGCATAATTATACCATATTTCGGGGCTGAATAGCATATATATGATACTTTGCTTGTAAGCATAACTGACTCTCATCTTTGCAGTCTCCTCCGGTAACACCAACTTATTTTCTTTCTCCCATTCTATCCATTTTTTCCAAATGTCTATCTGATCAGGAAACTCTTCATTCTCTGATGTGTGTGGAAGATTTTTCTTGTTGACAGAACGTAAATTGATTGGAGCAACTCTGCGTAAACCCTTGGTAACGTTAGACCATTCTTGGTACAAGGAACGAGCCTTCATGTAGTCCCCAGACAACTCTCCGATGAATTTCCTAGCGGTTAAGGAGTTCACTGTCTGTTCCCATTGAGTATATTTATTCCACATTTGTTCTAATGAGTTGAACGGAACACAAAGCATACGTTTGTACAATGTTCTAATCATATCGATTTTCTGTTGTTCTTCCCATTTGTTTACAGGTTTCCATTGTTCCAAAAAGAGTACATAATCATTCCAAAATTGTGATGAATTGGGTTCAAAGATGGCACATTTTTCTAACACTAAATCAAAGGCCTTGACTACAATAGCACGAGCTTCCTGACCACCTGTAATCAAGTTATTCTTTCTACGAACATAGTCTAAATATGTCATCCATAATGAAAGGTCATTATTTTCTGTTTCTCCAGAAAGACATTGGGCTAACAATTTCTCTACAGTTTCGAATTCATCTCTTTGTAAATCTTCCTTTAAATGAATAGACCACAATGGTGCATAAAAGGGGAACCGTGAATGTAATTTTTCAAACGACAGCTTAATTTGTTCAAAATCGTCTTTGCTTTCATAATGTTTGATCAGTTCTAGTGCAGACAGTATATCGGTAGGGTCTTCCTCCAACTTTTTATTTAGAACACTGACGATATCATCAGCAATTACTGTTGGGGTGGCAATGGGTTCGGTCGTTGTTTCAGGAGTTGATAAATTCGACATAATGGGGATGCAAACAATTCAAAACAAAACAAAAATTAATCCCTGATGTTACTGGTAAACTAGAGCTCTGTATGACCAGGTAATACAGCCTTCAATGGGTACCCTTTATTGAATGTAGAATAGTTCCTTCCTGTAATATATCAGTTGCTCTCCCCCATTTTCATATTTTCAGTTCAGTCAGTGGAAAATTTTTGAAATTTGTAAGACCGGCCGGGTGAGCAATAACGAACGAACTGAACAGAATATTCCAACTTTGATACAATTATTAAAAGGGAACTTTCAGTTCTGTTGATAGGTTATTGTCGCAAGGAAGCAAGGTGATAGGTTTGAATCCATTGGAGTTTTGATAGTGATGAAAGTTTTCCATTTGTGGGGGGTCAACGGTGAACCCAGTTTTATATCTCCGGAGAGTGTGGCATTGTATTGGATTCTGAACGATCCAGAACTAGGTTATTTTACCAATGATGATGATGATAAGGAGATTGTTTTTTCTAACAATACAGATCTGTCCCCGACGGGTCATTTACCACTGTTGATTGTAAGTGATGAGGGTATGAACGACTTGAAAATTGCAGGGTTTGATAGCATTATTCGTTATTTCCAACGGTTGATGATAACTGACGATGAGCATAATGAACAACTGTATGAGAATGCTCTGTTGGAATATGTGATGCATGATATATGTCCATTGACTTTATATCAATTGTATTTGAATAAATCTAATTATGTTGGTTTCACAAGGAAACAATTTTCAAAGCTGTTATACTTCCCAATGTGGTATAATGTTCCTATAGGTTATAGAGCGGCGATTCGATCTCAGTGTGATAAACAACTGAATTTGGAGTATGCATTGGTGGAAGAGGATCCTGATTATGTTTCTGATAATGAAGACACAAATGTGCTAGATGTTGCCAACATGGCCCAATCCAAGACCTTTAAATTGAAAGCCAAGAGTTTGGTACGAAACAAAAACGAATTGTATGAGATAAAACATAATTTACAATATTTGAACAAGATAACAGATGTCCTGAAGGAATGGTACACTATAAGGTACGAGTCATTACCTCGTGGGCACACACACTACGTGGCTGCCGATATCTTGTTGTGGGCAAATATATATATTCAAATAAATCTTCCTGAGGGTTCCAAAGTTCTCGACAGGTTGACTGAGGATTTAACTGAAGAGCAAGTGACACAAGTCCTGGAGATCATTGGCAAACTAAGTAAGAGATGTAATGTATTGAAAGAGAGAGATCCGATTTTCAAAGAGCAAGGGAATGTTGTAATGTCACTGTATCATAAATGTACATCGTATTTAATATAAAATAAGAATATTCATTGTATATAGCAAATTATTTTAAAAAGTTGAAAAATTTATGTCTTGTTGAAGATTTCATAAAATCACCAACGCATTAGTTGAAGTAAACAAAAAAAATTTATACAAGGTTGTAGTTATAGTATTTAATCCTTTGATATCTCTTGAACGATTACGCCCTCTTTGGAATTGTTGAACTCTTCATCATCATCCATTAACTGGTCCTCCGAGATCAATTCTTTAACCTCAGCCATTTCTTCTTCAGTAGACATTTCCATTATACCATATATTGCTATCATGACCAACCCGAGGACCCCCGCGATACAACTGAACACCATAGCAATGATCCCTTTCTTAGTGAATCCACTTGGAACATTTTTCTCTTGAATGTTCTGTCCAGTCAAATCATGGAAATTCTCATAGTTCCCAGCAGCGTTCCCCTTTGTGCTAATATTTGAATTCGAACACATCTCCAGCATGTTGGCCGTAAGGGCCTGCGACGAGTTTGCCTGAATCGCTAGAGGGTCCTCCACAAGGACGATTGCCAACCCTTGCAGTAGATGCCATTCGATGTGGCAATGGAAGAACCAAACACCCGGGTTGTCTGCCTTGAACCTAATAACAAAATTCGATTGAGGTCTCAAGTAGATAGTGTCACGTTGCATTGGGTATTCAGGGAACTCTGCATGATTCTCTGGGTCGTAGGACACAGGGTCCTCTCCTAAATCTGCATCATATGTCTGGTCTCTAATGATTGTTTGAAACACATGGCCATGCAAATGGAACGGATGTACACCTGTATCCTTATTATTCAGCACGATTTCAATAATCTCGTCCTTCTGTAGGACAAATGTGTTTGTATTTGTCCCATATATGGTCGGATCTGTAGCGTCGTCACCTGCACTTAGTACCGTCATCAATGTGGGGACCTTTGGTGTTGTATAAGTGATATTATTGAAAAAGGCGTAATTCTTCCCATCGATCAAATTATCCATAGCGACATCCAATGTGATCACGTAATCTGGATCGTCTAACAAGGCCACCTTATTATAAGGCACCAAATAGAAATCGTCCAAAAAGTCCAGTTCATCGACAATATCTTGTTGCGGTTGAGGTGCCGACGTATTGTAAGTGAAGTATGACGTCGAGTTCAATTGCAAGTCTCCCGGAATAAGATCTAGCATGGTATCGTCGAACATCTGCATGATAGCGTAATTTCTGTCGGTGTCATTCTTTGTGTGGATCAACACCGAGTACCTTTGTCCGACTGTGATGTATAGCATATCGGTGGTGTTTTGTTCTGTATATATACCATCCACCTCTACCACAGTCATTTCGTGGTCCTCAATCCAGAAATATTGGGAGACAAACCCACCGAAGTTCCCGACACGTAGCAAGTAGGTGGTGTCGGGCTGAACCTCCCAAGTCAAGTTCCGTGTGTTATTCAAGATCAGATTCTGGGGGATTGGTTCTGCACCAGTCGGGTTGTACAACGACAGAAATTTCGGTCTTAGAACGTCCACGGTCTCCTCATACCATTCCCCAATGGACAGTATGACTTCTTCGTCGTAGTCGTACGGAAAGTTCTCGTTATCAGGGCCGTCATCCACAATAAACAAGGCTCTAAACCCATCTTCGTATTGGCCCTCGGTATGAGAGTGATACCAGTACATCCCGACGTTCGAGTCCACGGTGAAGTTATACAGCAGAGTGTCACCTTGTTGAATCGGACACGCGTTGACCATAGGTGGACCGTCCATCTGAGTGGTTCCCTGTTGGAACAAGCCGTGCATGTGCAAGGTGGTGGTTGTGACAGAGTCGTTAAACCCGTTCGTCAAGTGTATCAGAACGTTATCTCCCTTTGTGACACGGATATCCGGCCACGGAAACTCTCCGTTGCAAGTAATCACTGGTCGTTCGGCGACACCGTCGACATTAGCAATGCCCCATCCCGTGGTCCAGTGGTACTCCACGGTCTTTGCCGTCGTGACAGCAGCCAGCAATTGGCCAAATAGCAGCCAGAAGTATACTAGTTTAAACATCGTTGTGGTGGTAGCACATGGCAGGACTGAATATTACAGAACATTCAAAAACGGGGAGCCCAACCCAGACCCTCTTATATACGAAAAGCCCCAAAGCCCAAAGCTCAAAACTGCCAGCCATACCGTATGCAGGTGCAGTTGCTATATATGTGCACCCAACTTCATGCAACGTGCATATACGTATGCCAGAGTCATAAGTTCGCATTGGCACCTTCATTTACCGTAACGGGCGACGACAGAACTGCACCCAGCGAGAAACGGCTGACCATGCCCTAATGCCCGAGCACAATACCCTAACCCTGACCCTAAACTCCTCGTCTATAACCCTAGCACAATACCCTAATAAAGCCCTAAACACGTACCCTAAGGCCACAGACCCAACACTCTAGCCCTACCTCCCCGCCCTAACACCGTCACCCGGCACGACGCGTCACGACACGACACGCCAGCACCCACACACCCGCACCCACAAAAAGTTTCTTCCGCCGCCGCACGGCTCTGTCCTTCCACTGCGCCGTCGCCCGCTGCCCGCCGCTGGAAATGAAAAATTTTCTTCTCGCGGCAGAGAGCCCAGCGAAGCGAATGGGAGCTGAGAGACGAGATGAGCTGAGCTGAGGGCACAGAGCATTTTCATTGTGCTGGTCATGCGTTGGGGGGAAGGTAGAAGGAGCCTCAAATATATATATATATATATACGCTCTGAACCGTTCGATGAGGGAGTCACATATCATTAATTATACAAGAAGTACAACTTATTTATTAGAACAAAGGGGATCTGGACATATACTAGAACCCAGGAAATCAACTGCACTTTGTAATATTATGGACTCGTTTTCAAAGGCAGATCTGGAAAAGATCGTCACACGCGAGGACTATAATTCCCAGGTATCGCCTACTCTTTCAAGAGACTCATTTGCTACCAGCACAACTGGCACAAAGCCTCGTCAAAGGCTCGTTCACAGATTCATCGACTCTTTCAAGCCTCCGCTGGATGACGACGAGGGCTCGGACCGGATCGTCGAGGATGAAGAGGAGTTGCAGCCTCGTCAGAAGCTGAAAAAGACTATGAAGTCCCGTCATATCGTCATGATGACTCTGGGGACAGGGATAGGGACCGGGCTGTTGATCGCTAACGCTAAAGGTCTGTATTTCGGTGGACCGGCCTCGCTGGTGATAGGCTACGGGCTGGTGTCCTTCGTTACATATTTCGTCATTCAGGCAGCCGGGGAAATGGCCGTCGCATACCCGACTCTGCCTGGTAATTTCAACACTTACATGTCCACATTCGTCTCCAAACCATACGGGTTTGCCACCGTTTGGCTATACTCCGTGCAATGGTTGACCGTGCTTCCTTTGGAATTGATCTCTGCGACGATTACTATCAAATACTGGACCACGAGTGTGGATCCCGACGTGTTCGTGGTGATCATCTACGTCGTACTGATTATGATTCATTTGTTTGGTGTGCAAGCCTACGGTGAGACAGAATTCATCTTCAACGCGTGTAAAATTATCATGATTGCAGGTTTCATTATCTTGTCCATCGTCATCAACTGTGGTGGTGCAGGCAACGACGGGTACATTGGTGGGAAGTACTGGCACGACCCAGGTGCGTTTGCTAGTGACGGTGGTGTTCAACGTTTCAAATCCATTTGCTACATTCTGGTCACAGGGTACTTCTCTTACGGTGGTACCGAACTGTTTGTGTTGTCCGTGGCAGAACAAGAAAACCCAAGAAAATCCACCCCGATCGCTGCCAAACAGTCCATCTACCGTATCGTGGTGATCTACCTGTTGACTATGATCCTGATCGGGTTCAACGTGCCTAGGGACTCCTCGGAACTGATGGGGTCGGCCGACTCGCAGACCCATGCCTCGCCTTACGTCCTGGCTGCATCCATCCACGGTGTCAGAGTCGTGCCTCATTTCATCAACGCTGTGATCCTGATCTCGATGATCTCAGTCGCAAACTCCTCGTTGTATGCGGGCCCAAGACTGTTGGCGTCCCTGGCTGAACAAGGCTACGGACCAAGCTTCATGAAATACATCGACAGGAATGGGAGACCTCTATACGCCTTGCTGATCTCGATCCTGTTCGGTGTCATCGGGTTTGCATCCTCGTCTACAAAGGAGGAACAAGTGTTCACATGGTTGGCTGCCATCTCGGGGCTTTCAGAACTGTTCACTTGGGGTGGGATCATGCTGTCCCACTGGAGATTCAGAATGGCGATGAAGACTCAAGGTAAGGACCTCGGCGAACTGGGCTACAAGGCCAACACCGGTGTGTATGGGTCCATCTACGGTGTGTTCTTCACATTTCTGGTGTTCATTGCCCAATTCTGGGTCGCCCTATCGCCCCCAGGGTCCGGAGGGAAGGTCTCCGCAGAGACCTTCTTCGAAAGTTACTTGGCGTTCCCGATCTGGATATTCTCCTACTTTGGGTACATGCTCTATTACAAGGACTACACGCTGTTGAACCCCTTGGAAGAGATCGACTTGGACTCCTTCAGAAGGGTCTACGACCCGGAACTGCTGAAGAAAGAGGACGAGACCCAGAGACAGAAGTTCAAGGAAGGCTCCTTCCTGTACAAGATGAAGACCATCTGGTGTTGATCCGACACGCCTCGCATGCATGTAATACTATTTAAGTATATATCGAAGTATACATCGTTTTTAATCACAAGCTGACTGGGGGACCCTTCCCTTCCCTCCCCACGCCGTGACCGCTATCGAATGAGAGCGTGGGGGAGACAGCGCCCTGAAAGTGAAAAATTTTTAGTTTTTTTTGACTTTGAAAGATCAGTCATACCCACCAGCAACAACAACGAATCAAGATTCCTCCCCATACATATATAAGAGGGAGAGGGAGATGGGAGATGGGAACCAAATAAAATACGTAAGAAATTAGTAAAATTTTTTTCTGTACTATAGCACCCCAAGCTAAAACAAAGTATACACTTTCACCATGTCCTCTCCTATGTTCAATGCCGACGGCTCCACTAACCAATCCGAAGATGTCAGAATCCTAGGGTACGACCCTCTGGTCTCCCCTGCTCTGTTGCAAGTGCAGATCCCTGCCACCCCAGAATGTCTGGCCACTGCTCAACGTGGTAGAAGAGAGTCCATCGAGATCATCTCCGGCCGCGACGACAGGGTCCTGGTTATCGTGGGTCCTTGCTCCATCCATGACCTGGACGCTGCTCAGGAATACGCTTTGAAATTGAAAAAATTGGAAGAAGAACTGAAAGGTGATTTGCTGATCGTCATGAGAGCTTACTTGGAAAAACCAAGAACTACCGTTGGCTGGAAAGGTCTGATCAACGACCCAGATGTGAACAACTCCTTCAACATCAACAAGGGTCTGCAAGCCGCCAGACAATTGTTCGTCAACTTGACCTCCATCGGCCTACCAATCGGTTCTGAAATGCTAGACACCATCTCCCCACAATACTTGACCGATCTACTGTCCTTCGGTGCCATTGGTGCTAGAACCACCGAGTCTCAATTGCATAGAGAATTGGCCTCTGGTCTTTCTTTCCCAGTTGGGTTCAAGAACGGTACCGACGGTACTCTTGACGTCGCCGTTGCTGCATGTCAAGCTGCCTCTCACCCACATCATTTCTTAGGTGTCACCAAACACGGTGTTGCTGCCATCACCACCACCAAGGGTAACGAACATTGTTTCGTTATTCTAAGAGGTGGTAAGAAGGGTACTAACTACGATGCCAAGTCTGTCGCTGAGGCCAAGGCTGCTTTGCCAGCCGGTTCCAACGGGATCATGATTGATTACTCTCACGGTAACTCCAACAAGGACTACAGAAACCAACCTAAGGTCAACGATGTTGTCTGCCAACAAATCGCCGCTGGTGAAAAATCAATCATCGGTGTCATGATCGAATCCAACATCAACGAAGGCAGACAAGACGTCCCACCAGAAGGTAAAGCAGGTCTAAAATACGGTGTCTCCATCACTGACGCTTGTATCTCCTGGGAAACTACTGACACTGTCCTAAGAAACCTTGCTGCTGCTGTTCAACAAAGAAGAGCTGCCAACAAGAACTAAGCTCAAGAGCCACGACTCACAACTCACAACTCACAATATGTACTTGTATGTAATTAACCACCCATATTTAATCACAAACGAATAAACCATTTTTAACGTCTTCCTTCAAAGGTTTCCTGTTTCTGACTCTACCAATCACCCAAGAGGTTTATGTAATTATCAGATTTAATTACTGGAAGATTAGTCATTTGTGCGCAAATTGAAGTTCCCTCTCGCGAAGATGCTGCCGCAGGAAGCAGAACCGCTCGTTACTTCAGCTAAAGAAAGAGTCACACAAATCTTCACCAATCTTGCTACTTGGAATGAAACTTTTCATATAAAAGAACAAAACAAGTTCGGTAAGGCTAGAACTGGGGTTCGAGTTCACTGTTACGAGTAGAAATCAAAGTCAATAGCACCAGCAACGCCAAGAAGAAGAATATGTCGAAAGTAGTGCACGTTATCGATGTCGAAAGTGGGAACCTACAGTCCCTCAGAAATGCAATTGAACATTTAGGTTACGAAGTTAAGTTAGTCTGTAAACCTCAAGAACTGATAGATGCAAACCCAGAGAGGCTGATCATGCCTGGTGTGGGTAACTATGGCCATTTTGTAAACGAGTTGTTTTCTCGTGGGTTTGAACAACCAGTGAAGGACTATATTAGTTCAGGAAAACCAATTATGGGAATTTGTGTTGGTCAACAAGCATTATTTAGTGGTTCAGTGGAATCTCCATTGAGTAGTGGGCTTGGATATTTGCCTTACACTTTATCTCGGTTCAATAACGAGAATGGTAAGACCGTTCCTCAGATTGGTTGGAATAGTATCACTGAGGATAGCCCCTTATTTTATGGCATGGATCCATACAAACGTTACTATTTCGTTCATTCATATGCTATGATTTTGACACCTGAGATTGAAGCTCAATTGAAACAAGATGGTTGGTCCATCGCAAAGGCTAAATATGGCAACGAAGAGTTTGTTGCTTCATTAACAAAGGGGAATATCTTCTCTACTCAATTCCATCCTGAAAAATCTGGTCATGCAGGTTTACATGTCATTGATTGTTTCCTACAACAAAGAAAATCGGAACCTTTACCTTCTTATACAGAATTACAAAGACAATCTTTACAAAATGATTACAGTAACAATGGTCTAACAAGGAGAATTATAGCATGTTTGGATGTACGTACCAACGATCAAGGTGATTTGGTTGTGACAAAAGGTGACCAATACGATGTTCGTGAAAAGGAAAACGGGCAAGATGTTAGAAACTTAGGGAAACCAGTGGAATTAGCTCAAAAATATTACGAGCAAGGTGCAGATGAAATTACATTCTTAAACATTACTTCATTTAGAGATTGCCCATTGAAGGATACACCAATGTTAGAAGTACTAAAGCTTGCCGCAAAGACTATTTTTGTTCCATTGACAGTGGGTGGTGGGATTAAAGATATAATAGATACCGATGGTACTAAAGTACCTGCTGTGGAAGTAGCAAATCTATATTTTAGATCTGGTGCCGATAAAGTTTCCATTGGGACCGATGCTGTATACGCAGCTGAAAAGTTTTACGAAGCAGAAGGTAAATGCGATGGTACCACTCCAATCGAGACAATCTCTAAGGCATATGGTGCTCAGGCAGTAGTGATATCGGTTGACCCTAAACGTGTATATGTCGACGCGCCAACACAGACCAAGAATCGTTGTTTCGAGACAGCTTTCCCAGATGCTCAAGGACGTACCTGGTGTTGGTATCAATGTACCATCAAAGGTGGTAGAGAAACAAGAGATCTAGGGGTGTGGGAACTGGCCCAAGCTTGTGAGAAATTGGGTGCAGGTGAAGTCCTGCTAAATTGTATTGACCGTGATGGGTCCAATGCAGGTTATGATCTGGAATTAATTAGACAAGTCAAAGAAGCCGTTAGTATCCCTGTGATCGCCTCAAGCGGTGCAGGTAAACCAGCAGATTTCGAACAAGGGTTCAAGGAGACAACTGCTGATGCATGTCTCGGTGCTGGGTTATTCCATAGGGGAGACTACACCGTAAAGGATGTTAAGGACTACCTTTTGGCCCACGGCTTAAAAGTCAGAGTCGATACAAAGTGATGAAAACGAAAACTTCACTCCTTAATTACATGACATTACGTACACACATTTACAACAGTATATACTTATAACGATAATTCTTTTAATCATATTTTCCTCTTCTTCTTCCCATTGCTTGCATAACTGCTTGGGTTTATTATGTATGGCGAAAATTTTTTTCTTCAGGCGATGCGATGAGCTGAAAATTTTTTGATTAACATACAAAATAATCAATGATAAATTGATTCTCAAATTAAAGTAACATAACATATCCAAACAATAGAAGTAATACCGAAGTAACCAGTACAACCAGCAAATATGGGGAGATCTACGACATCCAGATCCAGGAAACAAAGACATGATCCACTTTTAAAGGACATCGATTCCGCTCAAGGTAACTTGAAGAAACACTACACCAAAAGAAATCAAGTGACTAAAGAAGGTAATGAGGATGACGAAGACGAAGAATATATCGATGCTAAACATTCTCGTAAGATTTTACAACTAGCTAGAGATCAACAAGATGAAATTGCTGAAGAGGAAAATACCGAGTTGCAACGTGAAGTACAAAATAAAGCCAGATTCCAACATATCGACTATGATGACGACGAAGACGATGAGGATGAACAAGAAGGTGATTTCTCTGATTTTGAACCGGAAGGAGAGTTTGGTGAAGAAATGGAGGAAGAAGAAATCGTAGAACTAGACGAAGAAGATGCAGCTATGTTTGAGCAATATTTCAAGAAGGCTGATGACTTCAACGCAATGAATGGTAGTTATAACTTGGCTGATAAGATTATGGCTTCTGTCAGAGAAAAGGAAGCTGAGATTAAAGAAACTGCTATTGATATTGACGATAATGAAGCTGATCAAGGTGAACATGAAGCTCAAAAGAGACCAATGGATGGTGTTGCTTTACCTGAAAAAGTTATCAGAGCGTATACCACTGTGGGTACTGTGTTGAAAACATGGACTCACGGTAAACTACCTAAATTGTTTAAAGTTATCCCATCTTTGAGAAACTGGCAAGATGTGTTGTATGTGACCAACCCAGAAGCATGGTCTCCGCATGTCGTCTACGAGGCCACTAAGCTATTTGTCTCCAATTTACAAGCGAAAGAAGCTCAAAAGTTTATCAGTATGGTCCTATTGGAACGTTTCCGTGACAATATCGAAAATAACGAGGATCATTCTTTGAACTATCACATATATCGTGCTATCAAGAAATCCATCTATAAACCGAGTGCATTCTTCAAAGGGTTCCTTTTCCCTCTGGTGGAAACAGGTTGTAACATTCGTGAAGCTACCATTGCAGGTAGTGTATTAACTAAGGTCTCTGTTCCAGCATTACACTCTTCTGCCGCATTGAGTTATCTATTGAGATTGCCATTCTCTCCTGCCACCACAGTATTCATCAAGATTCTTTTGGACAAGAAGTATGCTTTACCATATCAAACTGTGGACGAATGTGTTTACTACTTCATGAGATTCAGAATAGTCGAGGATGGTAGTACTGGGGAAGATTCTACCAGAGCACTACCAGTGATATGGCATAAGGCCTTCCTGGTGTTTGCTCAACGTTACAAAAACGATATCACTGAAGATCAAAGGGATTTCCTATTAGAAACTGTCCGTCAAAGAGGACATAGAGACATTGGCCCAGAGATCAGAAGAGAACTGATGGCAGGTAACTCTAGAGAATTTGTTGATCCTAACCAAGCTAAGGACGACATGATGATAGATGTCCAATAACTTCTCAAAGAAAATAAATAAAAATTATATAGCATTTACCATAAAAAAGAATCACACATATACATGTATATTACAATAACAAAATAAATTACAATTTAAAAAGAAATAGATGTGCGCCCACCTACTATCAAACTGTGGACTGTAGGAAATTTAGTCCCTGTTAGCGAAAAGGGCGTGAAATTAATCGATTCTAAGACCTTCCTCTTAACATATGTCCGATCATATCGCTCCAGTGGGCTCGCCTATTGCAGAGGTACAATAGAATACCAGATTGCGAGTATCCAAAAACCGACTCAAGGAAAAACTCCAAGAAGTCAGACAGATAAAAGCAATCAATATCCCCACCACACAACGGACGCAAAACTGAAACGATATATACAACCAGACTAGGTAAAGGCCTTACCCTTTTTCCTTTCCAAAATAAACAGAAGGAAATTGTGTTGCAAGTTAAGAACTTTCCAAATCAGAAACTTCAATCCTTGCTTTTATACTGAAATTTTTTTCAATGGCCGAACTCTTGATGATTTGCTAAGACGCTCCGAGAGTAAACCAAAAATTTGTTAGGGCATCGCAACCCACTGGATGTGACAACAGAGATGTTGGCTACGAAATAGTTAATATACATAAAAGAGATAGTGAAATATAGATATATATGCAAAGAAGTATATGCCAGGAATGAATGTGAATGCGTGGAAGGGGAAGGTTCTTGTTTAATCAGCCATCATCAGAGTTCTCGTCTTTCCTTTTTTGTTTTTCTTGTTATGTTTCTTTGAACCGTTACCTTGCTTACCATTTTTATGGAATGGGTTTGTCAATTGACCTTCAACACCGTCCATCTTAAAGAACTCCTTATCCAAATCTGTGGCAGCATTATACAAAGCAGCCTGTTTACCACCGTGAGTAACAGCCTTAGCGTCAGTTTTGTCATCACCACCAGTATGTGCCGAAAATGTCAAATTCTTCAAATCACGAGCCAAGTCGACGACTTCGATACCCTTGGACTTAGCGGCCTCTGCAATTTGTTCTCTTCTTGTCTCTGGTAGACGGTCAAATACATACAGATCCTTGTTGAATTCCTGGGCTTCTTCGGTGGTGTATGGAGTATCATCGTCCAAATGTGGTGGTGGGTTGATGTACAACAATTTACCATTCACGTAATCCTTTAGAATGTAACGACTCGAACGTGGCTCATCTGCAGAACCGAAACCTTGTGTCATATAACCACGGGCTCTACCATATGCAATCAGCAATTCTTGACCAGTTGGAACGATACCGTTCCCACCTTCATCGACACTCTTTGTTTGAATATGAATACCATAAACGGCTTCCAGGAAATATTTAGGAACTCTTTGAGCGACAAGATTAGAGGGACTAATGAAATCACGAAGTTGATCAATTGGTAGGACACCATTACAGACCAATTCACCATTGTTATAAGCAAAATTTGGAAACACTAAACCAGGACAATCACATAGTTCTACAGAATCTGATAATCTAATGGTTTGGAAATGCTTAGTCTTACCAGGAGTAGCGGACACAGAGACCTTTTTGGCACCAACCAAGGAATTGATGGTGGAAGATTTACCGACATTTGGATAACCAACTAAACCAATTTGTAGTAAGGAGGGACGTCCAGGTAAAGGTTTTGTCAATGGTTCTTGTGGTGCTTTAGTCAAAAATAATTCTTCCAATTGATCTATACTTAAGATCTTGATCTTTTCTTGGATTTCGGGTTCGATCGATTCATCAATCTCTTCTTCTTCCTCTTCTTCCTCTTCTTCTGACATATACTCATCACCTAATTCGTTTTGTTTCTCCAACAATTGATTAGCTCTCAAAGCAGAGTAAAAAGTGAAAGAGATACCTTGTTTAATGAAATATTTAGCCCATTCAATTCTTTGTTTTATAGTCAAAAGATCAGCTTTGTTCACCAGTAACAAATTCTGTTTTCTTTCATCTAGTTCCTTGACATAATTCTCCAGATCGACAGATCTAAACAATAATGGGTTTCTTGCGTCGACAATTTGAACCACTAAGTCGGATCTTTCCACGACTCTCCATAATTGTTTCCAAACTTCGATATTTCTTTCGAAGGGAGTCAGCAACAAATCGTCGTTAGTCTCCTGCAAGAAGGCCAGTTTCCTTCTCCATTCCAAAAATGCATCGTTTTCTTGTCTCTCTAATTGATATTTTGTAGTAGTAGAATCCCAAGCAGGTCTTCTTGGAACAATCAGTTCACGAGCATGAGCTCTCTGTTTAGCGTCCAGCTTCCCTCTTTGTTCGTTAGTTAAACCGAAACCTTGAGAGGTAGCATTCTCGACACCACTATCTAAACGAATGATCTTAACGTTGGAGTGTCTATCAGCAGTGAAATCTTTGTCTGCCAACTCTGCAGTACTTAAAAATTCATCCAAGGCAGTCTCCTGAGTGACAGATCTTAACTTCACCCAACTGTCTTCATGTTTGTCTGTGGTGAATCTCATTTCACCATCTGGCAAATATTCAATCGAGTTTTCTTTCAAACGAGCAGATTGAATGGCTCTCCCTAGACCGATTGTGTTTTTGTTCTTACGATGGATTGGTTTTGGACCCTTTGGAGGTTTCCATTTCTTGACTGGTTCGTTCTTTGGTGGCATATTTGTACTTATATGACTGGGTTTATGTGCTTTTGATATTGTAGTAGACTAAATATCACCGTTAAATATAAGTAAAACCGTTCCATTCATACTAATATACCCAGGTCATCTCATCTCATCTCACAAAGGCCAACTTACTAAGTGGCGCTTCTTTTGAAAATTTTTCATTTCTCCCGCTGTGAAATTGTTCACCTATGCAGAAAAAACACAAGAGCTAGCACGTGACTTCAAGAGTAAAATAGAGGAAATGCAGACGTTGAGATCTTATTACATTCTCTACCCAGCACTAAGTTTAAAGATGTTCAACTAACAAGCTCTTTTAAGTGACAGAATTTAGCTGCTGTTGTGACAAGAGAAGCAGATAGATTCGGCTGGTTAGGGCTAAATTGAAATTAGGATAATCCCTACTATTATACAAGAACGAAAAATTAAAATATACGTATCATTGGCCAATCTCATGATATTTTAATTTTAGAGTTATGAGTTAGTGAAAGCTAGCCACATCGCCCGCTGTTTTTTATGACTTATTCAAAGCTCTATAACATACCATATTAGGCCATATTATCCCACAAAAATATCTCCTGTAGTTATTTTCATGTAATTTAGTGTCTCTTAAGTACACACGTATATAGTTTCTTAAAAACACGATCCTGTTCAAAGTTTCCAAACTAATATATATGTACAACGGGGGAAGGGTGCAAATCACACTATCTCCACTCTAAATTATTTTTGGAATACCGTAGATCATGAAATAACTTAAAAATAGCAACCTCTTCAGAAGAGCAGATAGATCCGTTCAATCTACTAATTATAATTGGAAATTCACATCGGTGTACTAACTTTAAGAAGAAAAACAAGATTATTGATAAGACCCAGCAGATATGTTTCAGATACCTACTGAGTCCAACGTGAATCAAGAAAAGGACCATAAATCGTAATTCCAGCCGAACAGAGGAAATCTAACGGTTGTATAAACTCTCTAGACATTTATCCCATTTATGGTATAAGACCCAGCATTTTTATTCACCCCCTGGCTCATAGTTCTACGAGTACACAGGTAAATCCTTTCTAACCTTAAGCAGCCACAAGATTCAGACCCACCAATGAACCTCTTTTCACCACTGAGAGAGGGAGAGGAAAGTCTTTCCCTGTTTGCTCTTCTGTAGAAATTCCTTGAAATAAATGTGAGAGTGTGCTGCGTCTTAAAAACAACTAACAATAGCAACAACCGACGATAGATACCCCCACGCTCTCCCGTGGACACTGCTACTTGCGAAAGGATGATCAGCTTCCAAATGAGGAAATGGTTTGTCCTTTGAGAAGTGACCAGAGGCCTTCAGAGCTTATATTCCTCGACTTTTGTCATGATTCGAGATCGTTGTCCGGAGGTTTCTGAGCATCAAATCTGCCAGATGCTGCGAAAAGAAGTGGGACGGCCCTGTTACTAAGAAACTTCGCAGGCAGATCCTGATTATGAAATCCCACAGATCTTCTCGATTGATAACTGCAAATCTAAAAAAGGAACAAGAGGATGGATGATATCCAGGTCTGAAATATCATATGTAATCCTTGCTATGTCAGCCAGTTGGGCGAGAGATATGAGGACGGGAAGGTATTGAACTCAATTGTAGCGAAGGATTTTAAAATGGTATATATATAAAGCAGTATTACCAAATGGTTGCGAATATTTGGTCAGTAAAGCAATGGTTTAATGTGATGGTAGTTAGATAAATATACAAAACAAACTATAGTTGAATACTTAAAAAGAAATGTCTTCTTCTGCTATATTGAGAATTTTTTTCTCAGTGTTGGTGACAGGATTTGTTTCTAAAGTCAATGCAGCTATAAAATCCACTCCGATGGATACTTTGAATTTATTGCCTGGTATGACTGCCAGATTTTACAGAACTCCCCTGAACGACACATTTGATTTTACTGCGCGACATATGTACCTTAAGAAGGGGACATATTTAAAAGATGGTAGTACTCTACTCGCTCAAAAGGCTGGTGTAACAAATATAAATATTTATCGTATCATCTATGAGAAGAACGATGTTCTAGGATTCTATATGGACCCGGAAGACCACTATATGCTTGTAGAATTGAGAGGCTATTTCCGTGCACCATTTTCTGGTGACCTAACTTTGTCACAAAAGGTTTATCCTGTTAAAGGTTGCGATGGTGTAAATCTATATCAATCGATCACAAATCATTGGATCATAAGGCAAGGAGTATTCGTTAATAACACTGAAGATGGTTCACTGTGTATAAATAACTCTTCGATGTGGTTTGAGGCTGATGGTGAGGTTAATAGTGATCAGAGTGTCTTGAATACTGCAATGGGTAGTAGTATTCACCAAAGCAGTTATTACTATAAAGACATCTACTACCCTTTTACGATTGTAATGATGGTCAACGGTGATGCTATATACACTGACAACCATGCCTCTATGACTGATGCTGATGGGGAGCACTACGTTCCATTAAATCAACAAACTCTCTTCTATGACCCAAATGAGGATCTCGATGCTGATGATGCTAATTATAACAAAGCCTACCCAAACAATTGTCCTGTTCTAAATGGAGAGAAATTCGTTAACAGTGTCCTTGTTCCTCCTATAGATCGGGTTCCTGATGTATGCCCCTTGTCATATTCCTCGGTGGCCACTTCATCTGCAACAACTTCTCTAGAATCTAGTAGTACTGAATCTAGTAGTACTGAATCTAGTAGTACTGAATCTAGTA